GCTGAACTGCTTGATTTTTATAAACTATGATCGAAAAGCCGGAAAGAAAAAAAGTATTTTTGACTAAAGTTTGAATCCTATTTTCCGCTCTAAAAAAGACAATGATTTGGCTGGCAAAATGATAGTAAAGGTCGGAATGATGTGTGTCATACCTCGTTGGACTCGTAGTTTAATTTCCAATCCATAGGCATTCAGTCCTGGAAATTTTTAAATTTTGCCATTTTACCCACAAAAAGTAAAAAGTTACAAAAAATGCAAAAATTGGTCAAAAATTAAATTTGCCGTAAAGATATACGGATAGTTAGCATATCTAGCAAGCTGCTCAGAACTGTCGGTCTTTTAGCTGTACGCCATGATTCGGCTAAACTACGACTGAAAAACCACTAAAAAAGGAGTATTTTTGACCAAAATCGGAATCCCAAAAAAAACCGAGCTACCCCCTTAAAAAAAATTAGAAAATTTGTCAAGAAATAAATTTTTCTTAAAGTGGTGTGGATTGATAGCAATTGAAGCAAGCTGCTCAAAACTGTCGGTCTTTCAGCTGTACGCCATGATTCGGCTAAACTACGACTGAAAAACCACTAAAAAATGAGCATTTTTGACCAAAATCAGAATCCCAAAAAAAACCATGGTACCCCCTTACAAAAAATGAAAAAATGTGTCAAAAAATAAATTTTTCTTAAAGGTGTGGATCGATAGCAATTGAAGCAAGCTGCTTAAAACTGTCGGTCTTTCAGCTGTACGCCATGATTCGGCTAAACTACGACTGAAAAACCATGGTACCCCCTTACAAAAAATGAAAAAATGTGTCAAAAAATAAATTTTTCTTAAAGGTGTGGATCGATAGCAATTGAAGCAAGCTGCTTAAAACTGTCGGTCTTTCAGCTGTACGCCTTGATTCGGCTAAACTACGACTGAAAAACCACTAAAAAATGAGTATTTTTGACCAAAATCTGAATCTCAAAAATAAACGACCTACCCCCTTACAAAAAATGAAAAAATTTGTCAAAAAATAAATCTTTCTTAAAGTGATAGGGATCGATAGCAATTGAAGCAAGCTGCTCAAAACTGTCGGTCTTTTAGCTGTACGCCTTGATTTGGCTAAACTACGATTGAAAAACCGGTAAGAAAAAGAGTATTTTTGACTTTTTGAGTTCGTAGTTTAATTTCCATGTCCCATTGAACAGAAATTTGACATATAAATAAGCCTTGCTACTGCATCGTTTTGAAACATTCGTCGAACACTAATTCCTAATACCCTAAAACTCAACTTAATGAGCACATAAGTGACTTTGAGCAGTGAACATTCCCATCGATTAACGATTAAGCTTGCCGATATTTTATAGATTATTCTTGTGCTGCGTAAAGTGCCCACCTGCAGCAACCTAAATTACCCGACCACGCCCACAATTATGCAACCCCACGGAATGCGCCACTCTATGCAAAATTCATGTAAAGTTTATAAAGGTGAGGGGGCGATGGGGATGGGCGAGTGGACGAGTGGGCGAGTGGGTCACATGTGCCGCGAACTGGTTAAAAGTCAATTAGTCTAATTGCCCAAATGCAATGAATGTCAATTTTAATGAGGCCACTGCACAGGGACGATGGCAGGAGAAGAAAGCAAGCGGTCCGCTGTCCATTCGGCTCCTGTTTGTCACCTTTTGGGACGGCACTTGCCACTCTCTTTCGCCTGTCAAAGGAAACAGGTACCCATCATCACATCCACTCAAAATCATAACAAACAACATCAACGGCAACAGCAATAAACATAAAAAACATAAAAAACATGGGAAAAATAACGAAGAAACAACGGCGAACGACGACCCAACTGCAGACATAAGCAGACTTAACTGAAAGAAAGCTGACTTTAAGTGAAAATGAAGGGAAGCGGAAAGTACAATGGAAAACAGCCTGGGATAAGGGCAATCGTTATACATATCTTTGAAATATTTATAAAAATATATAAAACCTTTTTACAAATAAATATATTGTGGATAAAAAATATATTTTGTATTTAAAAAAATAAATTTGGATATACAATTTGAGGTCTTATCATACCCTATGTGATCAAATAAAGCTATGTATTTTAAGTATAAAAAAGAAATTTTAAAATAAAATTTGAGGTATTTCATTTATGAAATATACCTACATATATGATAAAAAATAACATAACATAATAATCTTCCAACAGTTTTCTTTAAAAGCTACAAAGCTGGTATTTGGTATATTTCATAGCTATATGATAAAATATACATACATGATAAAAATAACATAACATAATAATCTTCCAACAGTTTTCTTTAAAAGCTACAATGTTGGTATTTGGTATATTTCATAGCAATATGATAAAATATACCTATATGATAAAACATAATATAATAAAATAACCTTTCAACAGCTTTCTTTAAAAGCAACAAGTTTTGGGATTTGGTATATTTTATAGCTATAAAATAAATTACACCTTTATTATAAAAATACTATAACATATTACCCTTCAAATAATTTTTTTATATTTCCATATATTTCCATATTTTATATTTTCCATATATATTAGCTAAGAATAATAACATTTTACGAACTGAAGTATAATTTATCAGATGGAAATATTTTACATATTTACTGTTTTCCTGCTCAAATGTAATGATAAAATATACAAAGGATAACAAGAATCCACGGTAGTCAGAGAGTCCCCATCAGGACTAAATGAGAGTGACGGCAAAAAGTAGGGAGAAGAGCAAGAACAAGAGAAGAAGTGAAAAAGGACACTCGTAAACTTTGCACCTCACTTGCTAATGTGGCAGCTTAGAGACAGAGACAGCGAAAGCAAAACTGACAAAGCAAAAGGGTCCCCCCTTTGCTTTCAGCATATTTTTCGGGGTCTCGCAAAATGGAAGTGGGCGTTGCGAAAGTTTTGCACTCGAATTTTTTACTGCTTTCGTTTTTATTTTTTGGGGGTGTATGTGGGTAAACTGCAATTAGGAAGGTCAAAGGTGGCCAAGAAAAAAACGATGGAAGAAGGACAAAAAGTAGCAATGTGTCAATTAATTAATTTAATTCAGTCCAAACTTTTACATTAAGAAAAAAATTGTCCAAATGCACAAGTAAGTTTACAAGCACTGGAAAAATATGCTTGTTATCTTTCATAATTTATTTTATATTATCAATATTTTATAAATGATTAATAAATGTAGATTATTTAACATGCTTTCAATCAAACCAAATGTTTCCCTTCGAAAAACACTCTTTAAAGTATTCAAAAAATGTTCCCATGGCTTCAAAAACCAAACCCAAAATGGAAATGAACACCGAAATGGCCGAAAAAGTGGCAGTGAAGCAGGCGGAATGCCAGAGGGTGTTTAACTAGGGTTTGTGGTCGATTTTTAGCAATGCATAAATTACGCACTGTAATTGAATTAAAATCAATTTTTGCATTCGTGCACACCGAATGCATTTAGCCAGGGATCCGATGCAGCTGCTCCGGATTTTGATCCGGGCCTGGGTTTTAGGTTTCGGGTTCCTGGTCTCCGGGTCTCTGAGTTTCAGGTTCCCGGCCTTCGGTTTCCTGCTGTCCTTCTGTATTTTCCCCCCCATTTTTGTGCATTTTGCGCACTTTTCGCCAGCGGTCCTGCTGGGAAATTGGTGGTGCGGTGGTGCGGTGGCTCGGTGAGGCGGCAATAACAAACAAGCAAACAACATCATCAATGGACTGGTCAGCCAATGGACTCATCCCCGGCGTACACGCACTCAACCGGGGAACCACTAGCACCACTCCACTACCTGACCATAGAAAGGCACTCGCCGAAAGTGTGGCTAACTGAAATTGAATACTTGGTTTACCAATAGAACTATAAAAATACTCAACTATAATGTCTTTAAAGATACAACAGATATTTTCTTGCAAATTCAAATAATAAAAAAAACAATGAGTTCCAAAATCAGTTACATTTGATACCCATTTCAAAGTTAATAAAATAATACATACATAATACAACAAATTATAGGTCGTAATTCCGAACTCTAAAAATGTTTTAAAAAAGTTTCTGTCCACAAATATTTGGCTCAAACCTTAAAATATCATTGTTGAATTTGTAGTAACTAAAAATATAATTTGGATTTTTTTTTATTTTTTATTAAAATTTGTTTTTTTCTCCCGGCGCGATTAAAGGTTAAAAGCCTAAAGGTTAATTTATAACTTAGTCCTTTTTTGGGCCATATAATTAGGTTTTTTATTTTATCTGTGGCTTGGTTACTTTAGCCAGCTCTTTGGCACCACTGTTTTCTTTGAGTGCACCCATCGGGCGACCAGCATTCATTTTTCAGGCCAAACTTTGACAAATTGCTGCTGGCCAAGCTCAAAATCGGGCCAGCGGGAGGGGCAGATGGCTAACGAGGGGGCCGAGGGACCGGGGTGCTGCGGAGGGGTGACCCCGAACATCATCACATCACTGCGGCTAATTATTACATTTTTACCTTGACCACGCCCCGTGGACATGGCGTAAGGGGGCGGAACGAGGGCGGTGCGGATGAAGGCACTTTGACAGCCGCTGATAAATCAATGTCAAATGGGTGTTTTTCGTGGGCCAATGGAGATGGGAGATGGGATTAGCAGCGTTGACTAACGAATGACCGAGTATGAGTGCATTATGTATGCCCGGTGTGAGCTAATTTGATTGAGACACACATAATTGTACAACTAAGTTGGGGAGTTCGTTTCGGATGGGGCGGATGAAACGTGTCGCGGATTACGGAGGACCGAAACACGAAATCCCCAATCCTAAGCTTGTTCACAAGGGGATTCGCTGCACTCGATTCGTTCTCATTTAATCCTCTTTTCGGTTTCATTTTGCATTGCTTGGCTAAGAAACTAATACTATATTTAAAAGCATTCGGCTGTCTATTTAAATACTTCTCTTACATTACTCTTACTTTCAAATTTTATAGAGAACTTAGTACACTCAGCATTCCTCTATTGTTATGTCAAAATTTGATACTATCCAAAATTATACATTTATTTTTACTTTGCTTTAACGTTAACATTACTTGAGTTTCGTGTGTGTGTTTTTCCCAAAATACAGGAAGCCATAAACAGTTTCACACACCGGCATGTTTAAGGACACCACAATTAGTTAACGTTTCCATAGATTTTCGCCTGATTTCTCCAAGTCATTCGTTTTAAAAAAATAAATTCCGAGCAGTTGTGAAAGTGGTCTGAGCGACAGGCAAATAAAATTCAAATATTCTATCCAATTTGGTGAACTTTCAAAGCAAAATTATTCGAGTCCAAGCAAAGCGGACAGCAGTTAATCCACAAAATTTGACCATTGCGTCTTTTGGGCATACAAATCTTGGAAGACTGAGAAGGCATCAATAACCGAAACATTAGGAATCAGCGTTTTTGATCAAAACTTGCTGCTGGATAGCCCTTAAGCCGTCAATCAAGGATTCGAGCAAGATGAAGCCCGACCAGCTGAACCGTCTAATCAAAGTCAACACGCGAATGCAACCCTGGTTTTTGCGCAACACCAGCGAGTTATACGAAAGTGCCGTTAGGACCTATTACGAACGCGGTTTCAGTTCACGTAAGCTATAATATTTGCAATGCATATGGGGTTTTCTATGGGATCATTAGATTGTAAAGGGTTACTATTTATTAATGGGGTTTTCCTTGGGATCATAAGATTATAAAGGATTATTATATGGAATCTCAGTAATATTATCTCTGTATAAACTTTATAATAATTATAATTCCCCGATTTCCACTCCTCAGACAATCGCCACCCACGTATCCGTACCGAAAATGTGGGTCCTTTGCGCAGGATTAAGAGATCGGAGCCGGTGCCCAGTCCCGCCGACATCTATCCGCGCAGCCATGTCCGGCAGGCCGACCAAGTGGCCAACAACAACTCCGGCCAACTTCTGTACACGATGATGCAGGCGAGTCGTCCTCGTTCCATATCCTTCTCGGCGGCTCGTCCCTATGCCCCGGCTTATGGCCAGGGTTCCGTGCGAAGGACCGGTAGCTCGAGCTGCTCCAGCGGAAGTAGCAGTGGATCGTCCCGCACTGAGCTAATGGTTGGATCACTGCGGAAAAGCAAGGCACGGAGGGAACGGAAAAAGTCCATGTACAAAAGCAGGGAGTCCAGGGAGGAACCGCAACTGGGGGACATGGGGGGCATGTTCAGTGCCCGATCCATGAGCCTGCCTCCCCTGCCCACTGCACCTGGTTCGCGATCCGGAGCGATGATGCCGCCGAGCAGGCAACACCACATGGCGGCCATGGCCAAGTCGGCGCTGGCCCAGCCCATGAGGATTCCGCGTGGCGAGGGGGACTCCCTGATGCCGATAGATGCAGCCCTAAAGCGGCGGATTTCGGTGCTGAGTCAGTTGGAGGAGGGCCGAGACAGGGCAGAAGTGGGTCACCAACTGAGAACTGGAACCCACGGCACCAGCACCGGCACCGGAAACGGCAGCCACATCACCGGAACTGGCCGCCAACCGTCGGAGACGCGCCTCCGCTTTCAGACTTTGGGCGATCGCATCAAGCAGTTCGAGTACATCCAGTTCGCCGATGGACCCGTGGCCACTTATGCCTTCAATCGGAGTCAGAGGAGACCCGTTGAAAGGAGCTCGCCAAGGAGTCGCATCGAGGACAGCATGGACACCACCACGCGCCGCCTGGAGGTGAGGCAACAGCCGCGCCAGCTCGGCTTCCACAATGTCCTGCACGCCAACTATCGCCAGAGGAGCCAGAGTCTGGAGTCCGGAGCAGTCCAGCTGATGGAATCCCTGGCACCCGTATCCCGGCCAGAAACGCCACTCGGTCCCCGGGAAATTGGTGGCAACACCCGGGGATCCAGCCTGGACAGTAGCTCGCGAACTAGTCTCAAGGCCAGCGCTTCGAATGCAACTTGGGCAAATATTTTGGACAGGAATACAGGTATGATATGAATCAAATTTATTTGACCGAAAGATATAAATATTTGTTCGGTCATTTAAGGCATTATTTTTTATTTGGTATCAATTACCTATCATATTTATATCCTATATATGATATATATCCTACGTATTTTAAAAACGTTCGCAGACGATTTGGCCAAAAGGTCGGAAGCTAACTTTGGTTATTCAAGAAGCTCAGAAGAAACCTTGGGCGATTGGGATGGAACTCCAGGAGAAGATCGGTGCAAATACCCCAGATCAAGTAGATCAAATTTAACAATAGCTGAAACAAATTTGGTGGGAAATGCAAATACAAGTAAGGCAAAAGGACCGAGGACAAAATTACGCTCGATTGAGAAAGCAAAAATAGAAAAAACTTCGGGACTTACATCATTTATTTCGGAGCACTGTAAAGCCACCTCGGGATCGTTTTCTCAAACACTTTCTGGCCAAGATGAGACCAGTCGAGCCACCGAGGCACCAGTGCGTCGTCTGCAATTGCAACAGCAAGGTTCTCAGACTTCGTCCAAAGTGGATGATGCGACGGCCGATGACCTGCCACAAGTCAGGGTCAAGGAACAGGTAAAGGATAAGCCCAAGATGAAGAAGTCGCTGGTGAGCCTCCAGAGAACCCTGCAGGACCAGCCGCGGGTGACCAAGGTGATCAGCAATCAGGTGAGCCGCTCCAGCCATCGTACCTTCTTCCAGCCCCCCGAAGAGACCGACCTTCCTGCGGGTCATCCCCCCAAAAAGTCGCAACACGACCAACAGCCGGAGAAAAAGCAGAAGAAAAATCAAGACCAGGACAGGACCTCAGTCCCCCATAACAAAGGAGCCAATCAGCTGCTGGTAGCGAGTGCCTCGCAGGTAGTTATTCTGTTAAATCAGCCTTATACTATAATACCACATATATATTGAATAATCTTTATCCTCGGCAGGTTTCGGCCTACAAGCGTGCCTTCCGCACCCAGCAGCAGATGCTCAAGGCGGAGATTCTGCACCAGCAGGCACAGCATCTACAGCCAGCCCAAAAAAATATGGCTTCGGAGGTGCCAAAACAAGCGCCCAAACTGCAGAGTCACAGAGGTGCGATCCCAAACACCAATCGATCGACAAACCGACCAATAGTCAGACGCAGTACAGCCACATCGGGAGGAAAAGCTCCCACGTTGGATGAAGGAGTGTCCAAAGCGGGGGCTGGAACTCGGGCCCCACCAACAGCCAGGACAGAAACGAAAGGATCGGTACTCAAAACTAGAGGTTTTAAGGGACTGCCAACGAAGGCAGCAGGTAAGCATATAAAATTGTCATTAAGGGCTTCATGAAAATATCCTGAAATCATATCGAAATATCATACACATCGAACTCTATTAAGGTTACATCACCTTTAACAGCACCCCCGTTACATTTTTACAGCGACTCCCGCAACAGAGCACTTAACAGCGAAGCGGACTGCGCAAATGACTGCTGCCAAAAAAGGAACGGCAACAAAAACAATGAAGAAGGGAGCCCTGGCTGGAACGGTGACTGCGGGAGGAGAAGGACGAGGAGCGGTAGCGGGACGGCGGGCGGGAACGGAAGGGACAGGAACAACAAAAACACGCCGATCGGCGCTGACGCTGGCAGCGCAGCAGCAGCACTCGCGTAGCGGTAACTCGCTGCTCGGCTTTCGTCGCGAAACGGTAAACCGCGCAGCTGCAGCTCTGCTACCGCGACGCGACGCAGACGAGCCGCTGTCGCAGTTGCAGTTGCAGTCGCAGTCGACGTCGGCACAGCAGCGTCGGCAATTTCATTTCCCCTATCCCCCGTGGCGTCCCAGCTACTGAGTGTTCACTGTGTAGCTAACCAGGCCCCGCATTTCCCTACTACCGAAGTAATTGTCCTGAAATAGAGCGTGAAATAGGGAGAGAGATAAATCCAATGTAATGGTCAACTTAATGCTACAATAAAGTCTTCAAAAAATAATAATTTACAGCTATATTTATTTACCAGGCGACCTCGAAACCTATAACATGAATAATACATCTCGAAAAAAATTACTACACTAATCCAGCGTTGAAATCTATATTTAATTGTTGAAAATGTGCTAAAATAGAGAGCAAAAGAGCGAACTAAATGGGTTGAATAGAATGCAAGGGTAAACAAAATGTGAAAAGTGGCCAACGGAAAATGTTTTTAGAAATGTTGTGGAGTTGTACCGCAAGCCAATGCTAATTTCGACACACAACAACTCACAGACACAGATATACGCAATACGGCACCCACTTTCCCCACACCACTTTCCCGTATCAACAACACAGCATTAATTTTTCATGCAGATTTAACCGTTACATGACAGGACCAACAAACATTGCCATTGGTACAGTGGAAGTAATTGTAATGACAATTATATGTATAATTTTTACAGGAACAATAGGATAATATTGAATAAAGAGGCTTAAGGATTTTAGCATACATGATCACATTATTGTTATAATATAGTATATCATACAACTTCTCAATAATATTAAGAATTGAATAACACAACGGCTTGTTTACCACTTTTTTTGGGATTGGTACACACTTTGCTTATTTATCTGGTCTATCATCATATTATTATTATCTCCTCGAAATGTTGACCACTGTACTCCTGCACATCAATGTCAAACGTCCAAGATAAGCGTCGACAACAACAATAAAGAACCGAAGGAAACGCAGGAGACCAAAAAAAAAAAAAAACTTGTGAAGGAGTGGGAAAAAATAGTAGCGACAGCGACAAGAAAACGGCGACGACTTTTGTGGGTGGGACAAGTTGGGGGTTCTAGAAGATTGGAGGATGGTTTTTGGCTTCTTGTCAGCCCTGCGAATTGTTGCCGCGTTGCTTGATAAATGATGATGCGTGCCACATGACTGGCCATATAAACGGACTCGACTCCGGTTCTTGGGAGACCCAGGAAAAAAGAGCCGAAAAACAGAAGACACTGGCAGACAAATAGGCTCAGGCTCCGGCACAAAGCAGTTCAACATTTGAACCAGGCTAACTGGCTGACTGACTTGGCTGGAATAGATTGACAGTTGTACAATGGGTGAGCTGGACAAAAAAAACCCCAAAGAGATGCTGGTTGAATCACCAACCAATTGGCTAGTGGGAAAATAAGGAGACTAGTTACCATACAGCCAAGTCTTAGATTAATGATTTTCTTTAAATTATCAAGGGTTTCAGAAAGTCCTTTACCTCACTTCTAAGTTACTATGTTAAAGTCCTAGAAGTGCTTAGAAATGTAATGCGATTAACTTAATTAATATGTACATATGTAAATATATAGCTTCTCCATTGTAAACAAGAGATAGATTTCAAATTTTCCTCAACTTTTTAGCTTAATTGATGTTCTATTTGGAATGCTCTTGTTTAATTCGTTAAATAAACCGTACGCATGGCCACTACATTTATGTGGGGCATTTGCCAGGGACTTTTGTAAATTGGCTCGCCTGGCTGGCTTGACTCAAAACAAAAACCAATTTCCATTGGCATAAATAAATAAAAATCAAATTAAATTAATTCCAACACAAAGTGGCATATCCTGTTCGCTTCTCCTTTTGTTTTATTTTTTTATTTTGTTTTTTTTTTTTATTTTTGGCAACAAAGAGCAGCCAAGCAGCAACGTACATAAAAGGCAATAAAATTAAATCAAATCAAATGAAATGCGCATATGTATGGCGTTTTATGAGCTGCGCACCGCCTTTCCAAACAGAAGACACCCAAAAAGGACACGGCCAGGAGTTGAGTTGGTTAGGTTAGTTAGGAAAGGCGAAAGGATTAAAGCGGAAACCGCACAAAAAGGCAACTTGGCTGGGGCTACCGCAACCTATCCCAATTTGAGCTGCTTTTGGGTGCGTTTTTGTTGCTTCATCTAGTAATACTCTTTAAGGAGGTACTATAAAAATGTAAGGGGTTATATAAAAAAAATGTAATGATGCAAACACTTCAAGTACATACTTAGAGGTTAATGTTTTCTGTTAAATATTTTAAACATTTCATTATTTTGAATCATGTCATCATAACAAAGTGTTTATATTTGATAGGTTGTCTTAATATTTGTATCATATTTTAATCGAAATAATCATATATTAAATATCTAAAATGTCAGACATGAACTCACGATAGTGAAAAAGACGTCGTTTACTTGAACTCTGCTCATTTCCCATGCCTTTTTGTTGGTTTCTCATTTTTGGCAATAAAATAAATCCACCGCAAAGCCGCTGCGGGTAGATTGCTCGGTTGACCCCAAAAATAAGGTGGGGTAAACTTTGGAAATGGGGCAGCAGCTGTTCGGATGCCCAGAGTGGTATACATATCCATTTAGAGGAAGGAGATCCTGGAATTCCTTGAGCTGTCGGTGCATGGCTAATTCAGTTATTTCTGCTACTTTTCATCGTTAATGTGTCGGTCCTCATCGCAGGAGACCCAGAGATATGTCTTCAGTTAGCAGATAGCAGGGCGAGTGGCATAGCATTCCAGTACAAGGTCGCATCGTGTCCGAGTGCCCATTTCCTGTGCAGATATTCTTCCACCATTCAGAGACGCCGTCCTGTCCCCCAACACACACTGCGAACTAATCACTATTATTTTTGAAATGCACTAAAATAAATAGCTGGTAAATTGCAATTTTAGTAGAAAACCTTAAAATATATTTAATATTATGACAAAAGTATGTTGCCAATGTTTTTATTTCTAACTAGTTCAGACCTTTTATTAATGGGCTAAAAATATATTTTTTTTAAAGAGAATTATTTGTAATTTTCTAAATTAAAGATTAGGATAGTCATTCCATAACAGTTATAGTAAAAATTTTAATTTGTATCATTATTTAAAAATAAATATTATATTTTGACTATCATTTTGACATTATTATTATTATATATTACTATTATATTTTGACATTATCATAATTTAAAAATAAATATTATATTTTGACTAGTTACAAAACAATGGCCATAATAAATAGATTTTTCTATTCCTTTTTCCCAGAATTAAAGTGTCATCCTTAGCGTACGATTTTATAGATTAAGAAATAATATCACTGTTACTTACGATCCCTAATTTCCCCAATTCCTTTTTCCAAGTGTACTATCTCCATTATAAAAAGATTTTTTGATCATTTTTACGCAGTATTAAAGTGTAAGATTTTATCGATTAAGAAATAATATCACTCTTATTTACGATCCCTAATTTCCCGATCCCTAAGCGATTCTTTCCCAATTCCTTTTTCCAAGTGTACTATCTTCATTATAAATAGATTTTGTGATTATTTTTACCCAGATTTGAAGTGTCATCCTAAGTGTATGATTTTATCGATTAAAAAATAGCATCACTGTTATTTACGATCCCTAATTTCCCGGTCCGATTCCTTTTTCCAAGTGCACTGTCTCCCACTTCCCGCTCCATCTCGCAGAGTTTCCTTCTCTCCCCGGTTTTGTGGTCATTTCAAATTTTCATTTCATTTGCCATAAAAAGGAAATTGGTTTCGTATGCCAGTTGACATGGCCCTTTACCACTAGCCGAGGGACTCGAAGGGGGTGTCTCTGCTGGATGTGTGTGGCAGTTAAGCACATAACTGCAGCAAACAACAAGCTGAAATACCTGACAAGGGATTGGAACTGGCACGGCCAACGGAAAATGGTGGGGGGAAAACTGTATGGCAGGGGGATTCGTTCGGGGAAAACTCATGGAAAAACTGAAGGAACCGGGTGGAATGGGCAACTAGGAGCACAAAGCATAAATGCCAGGAGCTGGCGATCCGAGCTGTGTTTAAGCTGCTCCTTCACCGCTCTGTGGGGGAATTTCTGTGACAGATTCGACCAGGAAAAAGGATGCAGGACTGTTTGCTTTCGAGGGAGTTCGAGTCCCTAATTAATGAACTGCTTATGACACCGCTTGGTCACTTATTAATGAACTGCTCCAACTGAGTTGCTCCTTGGACGTGTTTACGATGGGGTCATTTCAGCACTTCCTTGGGGAGTGTAAAGTGCAGAGCTATTTTGATTTGGGAAATATACCCTGTCATGTAAAGCTGTAGAATCACAAATCAGGGGTAGAAAACGACCTTAGTGCTGTAGTTATACCTATTTATTTATTATGCTTGGAAGCTAAGAACCTAGGTCTTAGATCAGTTAAAAAACATACATATAACCAGGACTTTTGAGATAGTCTGTTAGTTTTCTTTTATTTTTGATAAATCTTTAAGAACAATTTATTCTTGATATAAACTAAAGAATTTTAAATAAATTCCTTAAGTCTAAAAAACTATTATGAAAAAGCATAGGTTTTATATTTATAATTATATACACAGAAAGAAATATCCAAGAACATTGTTCTTGTACTGAGAAGATTCGTTCTTAGAAATCGTGTAGGTACATTTTGGTATCAATGTTCTCAATATTAGAACAAAATGGTGAGAAGAGAAAAGATAAATTGAGTTTATTTAACAAATTTTAAGTATACACTTATCCATTCATATTTGTGCTAAGAAATCGAAATCTGTTATTAAACGTATATAGTAATGTTCCATTTCTAGCTTTCTTTTAAATAGAATTTCTTCTGGATGGTTTGCCCCCTTTCGTGCTTACAGAGTGCAACTAACTTGAAGAACTTAAATTAACTCTTTTTGGCCGTTTTGTTGATTCCATTTGCTATTTTTTTCACAAACAAATATTAAATTAACACTCACACACGCGCTTACTGATTTGCCGCACAGAAATAAAGGCGCAAAAAAAGTGGAAAAGTGAAATACCAGAGCTCGCACAAATTTTAGAGTTAAATTCAGGTCAGGGTTGCCAGGCGCCCGCGACGACGACGATGATGATGATGATGATGATGATGATGGTGGCAATGATGCCAGAGCAGCCACAGAAGTAGCAGCAACAACAATGTGGGCAGACACACACACACACACTCGCACGCGGAGAAAGTAAAAGAGAAAGCCCGAGAGAAAGGGAGAGCAATTTAGTTCAAAGGCACAAAAAGTGCAACCAAAAAATATTCCGAGGATGGGGAAAAAAACAAATAAAAACCAGAAGGAACAACAAAATTAAAAAATAATTAAATATGAATGCCGAACATTAAGCTTTTAGCTTCAATCTTTAATAATAAATGCCAGCCAGTGAACCAACCAAAGGCAATTAAATATTTAAAATCTTTTAAATAAATCAGAACCGCACAAGAGGTAAAAAATGTGTTTTAAAACGGAACGGAACAGAGTTGACAGATGGAAAAAAAGGGAAAGGCACTTGCTTAAAATTCAGTCAACTGCAATGGATTTATTGTAGCCAGAATTTTAAAGTAATCATTGTAAAAATAAATAAAAGTCTTTGATGAACTAAGTTTTTGGAGTTTAGGTGGACTTGTTTGTCAATATCTAGATAATTTAATAACTCATTAACTAAAGAATATAATTCTTTTGACTATAAATACTTTTCAAGTGAACTTAACATAAAATATAATCCGAAATCATTATGATTATCCACCAAAGAGCCAGTTCACGTAATAATATCTGGATTTAATAGTATTGCATATTTATAAGTGAGTAATTTATAATGACATCCCAAATCATATTGATATCTTACCAAACATTATTAAATAATTTTCTTTAATTCAATGAATTACTGAAGTCAGATTTTTCCGTATATTATGATAATTGAAATGTTCCAACATATTTGTATCATTTATACATCCATTGAAGTTTAAATTCCCTGTTCTCAATCGAATCAATAATTTGCATATTTTTATAGGATTTTGTTTATTTTTTGCGATTGCTGCCATATCTTTGTCGTCTCACATTTGTCTGATGTCTGTCAACTGCAGCCCTTATTTCTTGCATGTTTGTGCATGTACGTTTTTCATACACGGAAACAAAATTATTAGTTGGCAACATATTTTCACCATTGATTAGTGTGAATTTTATGTTTATTTGTTTTAAAAAACACTTGTAAACTATAAAGTTCTCAAAATAATTTGTTATACCATGTTTTGCCATGCATTATATATTTTATATTACTTTTTGCCACACTTAATGGCGTACTTTCTGTTGCATCTTGCATTTTTGCATACTTTCTGGCAAGTCAACTTGAACAGATTTACTGTCAATGGCCCAAAGCAATGCGAAACCCAGCTCATATCTAAGCGCCTGCCACGCCCCCTCGCCGCCACCGCCCTTGCCGCAGGGCAGAGGAAGAAGAGTAAGAGGAAAAGAGAGAGAAGAACCCTTCAAAGCTTTTTGGCTGCTGTTTGTTTGAAGTTTCTTTTTTTTTGAGCGCCTTTTAAGTGGCAACTACTTTGCACCTCTCGGTGGTTCACACGCACACCTGCCACGCCCCCTTAACCCCAACAGCCCCCCTCCCCCCCGCCACAACCGACGCCCATTCATATTCATGTCTGACTGTCTGTGGTGCCATCTCGCTCTAGTCAAGTGTTTTGGCCTTGAGTCGGTTCTTTTTTTTGCCAATTTCACCTTTTTTCTCCTTTTTTTTGCACCTTGGCACACATGTTACACCTAAGAGGGCCACCAAGCAGCGCACACACTGCGTATACGCAATTTATGTAATCAAAGCCATGGGGGCGCACACAAAAATGCATAAAAATTAAAATAAATAAATAATGCTGGAGAAATTCACAAATGTTGAGGGCGAAAAGTTAAAGGGAAAGTATAATAAGGTTGGTTAGAATGTATGCATTTTTTAAACATGCAGTTTATAGTTATCTAATAGAGATTCTAAATTTCATGGTATAGAATTTTATGAATTTTTTAGATTTATTTATTTAGAATTAACTCTTCTTTGTGTTAAGCAAAAAAAAATCACAAAGAAAATAGAGAAATATTAAGAAAATATTCGAATCATAAATATAAATAAATAAGGCAAAGTAGATTTATCAAATTCTCTTGTCGACCGGCATTTTGCAATTATTTGCAGGCCGAATTGCAAACAAATTTATATAAATTATGGTAAAAGGAGGCGGAAGGGCCCACGATTTATGGTATAAAATTTAATTTTGCGGCTTTTTAATCAACAGAAATCAAATGCAGGGCAACATTGTGTTCAACTTATGATTTATAAAGCCCGCACATAATTTTTTCGACCCTTATTTACTTTTAACCCTAGGTTGTATCTATAACTTGAGAAAATGGGGGAAAACACAAAATAAAAAATAAACTTATAAAATGTAAACTCCACTGCAAATGTTCTTTAATAATAACAGTATATGTTATAATAAGAAAATCTTTTTGTTTAATTTAACACTGAAAGAAAACATATATAAGTGAGGAATGGAATTTAAATAAATTAAAATATTTCAATTGCACTAGTAATTTTTTTTGTTTAACACTGAGAGAGGTTTATAAAATGGATGACATTTTCGAGATTATGAAAATAGAAAGTAAAGTAAAAGAAGTGCCTATATGTCACGGGGGCAGACTGCGGGTTAATGTGCGTGTGGGGTGGCTCCGGAAAACGTTGCTCATGGGGTTAAGGGGGGTGTTTGCCCGGTTTCGGGGGTTTTGGGGGTTAAAGGGGCCTGGGAAATCGGGTGCTGCGGTGGCGCCCAAATTGATGCATGTGCAGCAGCACGTTCCGGCAATGCCACTAAATCCCCTCTAGGACAACAGGCGACAGGCGAAAGCCACAAAAAGGGGCGTGGCAGAGGGCAGGGGCGGCCAGGAGGGGGGAAGGGGGTTTTATTTGAAAAAGCAGCATCGATATGTTATTTGCATGTGTCCAAAAGCAGGGGTTTTTCGGGGGGGTTCTGGGGCGCCACCCAAGCAAATCCCGTGGCAACTTTTTGCCACGCGAAAACTTTCTCAGGCAAGTTTATGCATGAATAAAGTGAAAAGCTGCAGGCAAACACATGCAGAGTGCAAAAATTGTAACTTAAAGTTAAAGTTGGTAGGGATCTGGGGATTTCAGATAACCTATATTTATTTAAAAATCTAAAACTGATTGTTAATCTGCTCAAGTTCTAGCATTAATCAAAAAATTTAAATTATAATGTTAGTTAAGTTTTTAGGGGTATTAAAATCAAGAACAATGTATATGAATGCTTTGCACTTATGTGGATAATGTTACTAAATTTATAATATTTTTTTGCAGTGCACGCACTCAGACTCATACTCTTATGCACACGCAGAAACAGTTGCCACAGCGAAATAACAGAAAAAAGTCATTTCGTGTTCTGCTCACATGCGCATAATCCGGCGAAAAGTTGCATTTTATTTAGTGCAGACAAGACATGACAACATATGTTGGCCTACTTCAAATTCGCATTAGGCAGCTTGAAGCCGCCGCAGACCGGAAGCCATTGGATTTTTTAAATTATCTATGAAAACAAAGGAGTTGTGCAATAAATTGCTATTATTATGGACTATGATCGAATATAGGAGTTAAAAAGCTTTATAAATATTTTAAAATACATGGACACCTTCCAAAATACTTTATTAGTTGAACAAACACTCTTTACATAGAAACAATTTTAAAAAACTTGTTTTACAGAGAACAAACGCTTTATAAATTTAAAATTCGCAGGCCATTTCTTAATATTTAAAGGTACATATTTACATACACGCATAAGTAAATATTTACAATTTAAACATTTAGATCTTATTCATTTTTACAATACCTTTGCATATTTTGGGTACTTTAAAATATGATTTAAATATTTATTTATTTATTGTACACTGTTGCCAAAAGTTTAAAACTTAAGGTACAGGGAGGAATCGGCCATAGTTGCTAAGACTTTCGGCCGGTCTAAATTATTGTGATTTAAATATATCTTACATACTAAAATTAATTACTGGTTTGTAATTCAAAATAATTTAGAAAACATTTAAAAACTACAATAAATAAATAATAAACATTAAAGCAATTTATTTTTTCAGTCATGAAATAACATTTATGTGGTACACTTATTTTTTCGATCAGGTCAGCTTATCATATTGTTTTCCATATTTTTATGGAATGTATGAGATCAGTTCTTATATCTACTTTTTCTTGTGGATGCGCATATGCCGCTGCAGAGATCTTTTCTCCTTATACGAAACCGAGCACAAGGAACAGGTGAAGGGTTTTTCGTCGGAGTGTCTTAGCATGTGACTCAGAAGACTCGATTTCCAAAGGAAATCCCGCGCGCATTGGGGACACTTAAAGGGTTTTTCCCCGCTGTGGATGCGAGCGTGCACATTGAGCACGGACTTGGTGGCAAAGGTTTTCGAGCACACAGTGCACTGGTAGGGCTTCTTGCCCGAATAGTTCCGGATGTGCGACTGCAGATCGTAGTCCTTGGCAAAGGTCTTCGGGCAGTGGGTGCACTTGAAGGGCCGGACGCCCATGTACGTTTGAATGTGCCGCTGCAGGCAGGTCTTCTTCCGATAGCTGTTCGAGCAGTGGGTACACTTGAATGGCCTTTCGCCCGTGTGGATGCTGTGATGCTCCTTGAGATACCTGGCCGACTTGAATCTCTTTGAGCAGCTTACACACTCGTAGGGCTTCTCCTCGGTGTGCACGACGATGTGGTCCTTGAGGGCGGACATGCGACCAAATTGTTTTGGGCACTGCGGACATGTGTACTTGCGGGTGACTTCCTCTCTGCTGGTATCCTCCTGGCCTGTCTCAGTGTCCTCCGGGACATACTCCTCCATATGCTCGCTCTTAACTTGGTAATCCATTCCGTAGTCTTCCTCTTCCGAAGGATCCTCTTCAACTGGCTCGTTCTTGACTTGAAAGTGGGGTATATCAACTGATGTCTCTTCTAGGAACTCCTCTAGGAACTCCTCATCGCTGTCCTCTACTTTCAGTTGGTACTGGAATTGGTCTTGTTTTAAAGACCCTTCTTGAGAAACTTCTACCATGTTGTGTGCTATCTCAGCTGGGTATGGGAATAGCTCATCTGTTGAAGCCTCTTTGATCCATGGATGATCTATCATAGTATCTTCAATCTTCACTTTTGAAGGTCCTTCTATTGTCGCTTCTTTAATCACCTTTGGTGACCCTTCTTCCGGCCAATCTCCTCCAGCTTCCTGCCTCTTATCCTGGCAATATAACCGTGTGGTTCCCGGTTTATCCAACACTTTGGAGACATGCTCCTCCAGCGAATTCCCCTTTAGAAACTGGTGACTCCTTTCGAACTTTCGTATGGTATCAAAAGCACTTTTGGCCTCCTCTAGGCAGGGCTTACATATGGTTTCGGGCAGGGAATCCCCCCTAGAAACTGGACATCGTATGCAGTGGGATATCATTTCCGCAATATTCACATCCAAATAGTTAGGATCATATTCGAATATGTTAACCATTCCATCTGATCTGCCCAGGCAAGTTCGACATCTCTTCAGCTTTGCCCTGGAATAAAAAGGTTAAAACTTTAGTTCTTAGCAGGTTGTCAGCTATACTTTCTTACATTCTCCTATTGTTATTAAACTAAATCATTTAAAGGACTAAATATCAAATATTTGTTTTTGTTTACGTCGATATTGCATCAAGCACCCTGTTAAACCCTGGTGAGGAGTGTGTCTTTGCTAATATATAATATTGCAAATGGTCACACTGCTGTTCTAGCAAAGATAACAACCTGTCATTTTAGCGGGACCATTTGTGGAAATTATTTTAGTATTTTTACGTATATACCAACATAATACTTAAAAAATACCTGGAATATACCAGAAACTTTTCAGGTGGTTGTCACTGCTAAGCCAGCAAATACACCCACCTATACTTTCAGTGTGACCCTCTAACGATTTCCTCTTGGTATTTTTCCCAGTGCCGGACGGCATAATTTATCGATAATTTCGCGTCGGATCGGCGTCGCGTTGAATGTTTGCGAAAAATTGTCGGAAAATTGAGGAAAATATGCAATTTCCCAGTGCCAAGTAGTGAGGGCCACCGTAGAGCAGTGAAAACCAGCACAAATAACCGTGGTTCTACCGCATAACCGGCTTTTCAAGCGTTGGCCACAAGCAAATCGAAAGAAAAAAAAAACCTCTTTCCCCCTTTTACCTTTGTGTGTGTGGGTGTGTGTGTGTGTTTGCCGTGCGTCCCGTGTGCGTGTGCCTGAGCCAGTGCCTGTGTGTGTGTGTACGAGCGAGCGAGCGCGTGTGTGTATGTGAAGAAAACGCCGCACACTGCGAAAATTTTCCTTTCCCAACGGTCGAGAATAACCGCTAAAATTGTGGAAAAACAGGAGAAAACCCCGAAGCGGAAGAAGAAGACTGCAGCCAGTAAAATGTCTGCAGTTTATTCGCCGCAACCGCCGCAGCAGCAGCAGCCGCAACAGCAGCAGCAACTGCAGCAGCAGCCTCCCCCGCCACAACAACAACAGCAGCAGCAGCAACAACAATTGCAACAACCGCCACCCAATTCCGCGCCCAATCAACAGCCACCCGGATCCGGAGTTGGACCCGGCGGAGGAGGAGGTGTAGGCGGGGTCGGAATGGGCGGACCCGGCGGTGGCGGCGTCGGTGTCCTGCCCATGAGCATGCAGCAGCAGCAGCAACGTCCGCCCATGGGCGTGCCCGGATCACCGGGCAGCATCATCTCCGGCGGCGGTCTAATGGTCACCCCACCGTCCACACCACGCGGCGGACAATCCAATCTCCAGGGCATCGGCGGCGTCGGTGGCGGAGGAGTCGGCGTCGGCGGTGGTGGTGGCCTGCCACCGCAAGTCAACTCGGCGCAGATACAAAAGATGCTCGACGAGAACTGCGGCCTCATCCAGACGATCCAGGACTTCCAGAGCATGGGCAAGGCGCAGGAGTGCATGTCCTACCACGTCGCCCTGCATCGCAATCTGGTCTACCTCGCCCAGCTGGCCGATCCCGCCATGAACATCTCACAAATACTGCCGGTGGGTTGAGCTATCCTATTTCACCACCTTTAGGGTGTTTACGTTTACTCAGCCATCAGTCATACTCATCTAATTAATGTTTTTCCTTCTTTCTCCGCAGCCGCCGCACATCCTCCAGACGCAGGCGATGCAGCAGGGTGGTCAGCAGACCCCGCCGACTGGACCGCACGGAATGTTGGGCGGTCCGCCGCAGCAACAGCAGCCGGGACAGGGTCCAGTGCCTGGTCAACCGGGCCAGGGTCCGCCGCAAATGGGCATGCAGCAGCACGGCGGCGATCCCCAGGGACCTCCTGTCCAGATGCAGCCCTACGGCGCCCAGCAGCAACAGCAGCCGCAGCCACATCCTGGCCTGCCACCGGGTGCCCAACAGCAATCTCAGCAACAGCAGCAGCAGCAACAACAACAGCAGGCAGCTGCGGCGGCGGCAGCAGCAGCAGCGGCAGCGGCCGCAGCAGCCGGCCAACAGCAAGGCCCCCAGGTCAGCCAGGCGGGTCCGCAGTCCCAGCAGCAGCAGCATCCCATCTATCGCAATGCCCAGGGCCAGGGCCAACCGGGAGCCGGCCAAGGACCTGGTCAGGGTCAGGGACCGGGTCAGTCCGTCATCAACCCGAATGCAGCGCCCAGTAAGTGTAATGTAGCCAAGCGGAGTCAAGATGTATTGGTTAATCTAGTATAGTTTATACAGTTGTTTAAAGCTTGTTTTGTTTCCAATATTCCTATGGCATGTTCTGTCCCTTGCTCTCTCTAATTTCAACCTTGTTCCGCCTTGCAGATCAACAGCGTCCCAACAATGGACCCCTGCCTGGACCCCAGAATCCCCAGCAGCAGCAACCGCAGCCCGGTGGCCAACAGCCGCCCAACCAGCAGCAGCAGGGCGGTCCCGGTGGGCCAGGACCACAGCCCGGAGCCGGAGGACCTGGCGTACCGCCTCCACAGGGTCCGTATCGCGTCAGCTATCAGCAGCAACAGCAGCAGCACGGCCACTATCCCGGCTATCCGCCGCAGCCGCAGACGCAGTACCAGCCGCAGGGCGCCTATCCCTACGGTCCGCCAACCCAGGGTTACGGCCCACCGCCTCCAGGGCCACCAAACGCAGCCCAGGGTGGCTATCATCACGGTCCAGCCGGTGCGGCGACGGGAGCCAGTGGACATGGTTATCAGCCGAATGCCGGCGCCGGCCAAGGACCACCGCCGGGCGCATATCCTCCGCCACCGGGCAGCCAGCAGGTTCCTCCGGTGCCGGGACAGCAGCAACCGCCGCCGGGACCACCACCACCTGGACAACCGCCGACCGGTGGACAGCAACCGCCACCGGGACCGCCGCAGAGTCAATACGGTCCGCCGCCGCCGCAGAATTCCGCTGGAGGACCGCCCCCTATGGGCTATGCGGGCTATCCCCCAAATCCCGGACAGTATGGTCAGGCGGGAGCGGGAGGAGGGCCACCACCGAGTGGCTATTGGCCACCGCCGCCGCCCACGAGCAGCGGTCAGAGTCCCTATCAGGCCTATCAGCAACAGCAGGCGGCCGGTGGCGGAGGAGCGGGTGCTCCGCCGGGCAGTAGCTATCCGGGCGGACCACCGACAAGTGGGGCAGCGCCGCCGCCACCGCCGGGAGGAGCGTACAGCACCACGGCGCCGAGTCAGACGCCACCGCCCCAAGGAGGCGGCGGAGCAGGCGGAGGCAATACCAATCCCAATGGACCCAACGCACAGCAATCGACGCCGCCGCCGCAAGGAGGAGCTGGTGGTGGAGGAGGGCCCAGTGGACCTGGTGGCGCTGGCCAGCAATATGCGGGACCACCGCAGCAACAGCAGCAACAACAACAGCCGCCGGGCGTGGTGGTTTCCGGTGTGGCTCCGCTGCCAACGCAAGTGCAACCCACATACTCGACGCCGGGCAACTACAATCAACAACCTGGTGGACCGCCGCCGCCCAATCAGCAGCAGCAGCAGCAACAACAGCAGCAGCAACAGGCACCCCCATCGGCCGGAGGATCGGCGGGCGGCGGAGGAGCACCGAATGCCCAGGGCCAGGGCAGTCAGCAACCGCCGCCGAATGGAGCCACACCGCCGATGCCACCAAATCAATACCAACCGGCGCCGGGAGCACCACAAGGTCCGTACGGGGGACCACCACCACCACAGGCCTACGGACCACCGCCGCCGGGAAGCGCATATCCCGGACACGCCTACCATCAACCACCCCAGGCCGGTGGCTATGCACAATATCCGCCCACGCAGGGCTACCAGGGCTATAGGCCCGCCGGGGCACAGATGCCGCCACCAGGAGCACCGCAAGGGCCACCACCTACCGGCGCATACGGTTACTACAGCCAACAACCGCCTCAATGAGGAAGGGATAGCCTATTACCGCCGCTGCCACCTGGCTGTCTCCACAACAAGTAATTCTCCACTGGGATTCGCTGGTTGAAGCTGGTGAGGATTCACAGGTTGACCCCCAGCAGATGCCTTGCAATCCCGAGAGGATTGAACCAGTTGGAGGAGGTTGTGCAGCGGGAGTAATAGCTTAACACGATGAAGAGGAAGAGGAGTAAGAGGAGCGGGAAACGGGCAGACGAAAAAGATTGAGATAAACTAGGCATATGATTAAGAATTGTATCAGAAGTGGAGCAAGAGGAGGACTACGATTAGAGCTAAGAGTAGAAGCCGCAAAAGATGATGATGTAGAGGTAGGATTACGAATAGGGGAAAGAGAGGAGTAAGCATAAGACTAAAAGAAGTAAGAACGCAGAAGTTTAGATGAAGAACCGAGGTGAAAATTCAGGATTCCCAATCAAAAGCGGCAATTCCCTCTAATTTTCATAGAGTTGACAAGCTATCAAAAAGAAAACTGGCTTAGAAGTTTCGGTGATACAAAGCAGATGGATAAGACACACTCGACAAAGTAGCACAAAAGCATAGAAGCAAGGAAGCGAACCGAAACAGTAGATCTAGATTCTAGAACAAGAAGAACACGAAGTGTAGTCCGTCGATAGGGAAGCGACTTAGAATTAAGTAAGCAGATTAAAATGCGCAAGCGAACAAGAAACAGTGTCCTAGGCCCAAAAAACCAGACAAAATGGGTGGGTCGATTTCTTAGGATCAGAAAACCAACGAAATTCCGGGTTCGGTGGTTAAGGTGCCGGTTTCCATGTATTCTAAAGCGCTGAAAGCGAATCCGAAACAAAACTAAAAGGAAACCCAAAAACTTTGTGTTTTGATCCGTCAAAGGATATGTGTAGTCCCTAGAGAAGAGCTACTGGTTCTAGAACATAAACACTTTAAGGGTTTTCATAGAATTACCCAAGTTTCTATTACTTATAATGGTCAGCAGACTCCACCGTCATTTCTAGGAATTTCCAGTCTTCTAATCCTCAGCAATCGACCCATCCTATTATACATAATTAAGTCTCTCTCTTAAGTAGGTTCCGCTCCTCTTTAAAAAACGATTATGCTAAACGATTTATACATATATATATTAAGATTCATGACGATGAAGCAACAGAATAGTGCATGTTTTAATATAAATACCCGCTACCTATTTAAACTATTTTTTTTTTACCTTTGTAGATGTCTGTTTTTAAAGTTCATGCATTTTTTTTGTGTAGCAATTTAACATTAATTATCCTTGGTCCCCGTCTTCTTCCAATAGTTTTTGCAGTAAAAGATTGTAATTTGTAAAATCCACATATATTTATACTATAAGCTTACATTTACTATTTAAAGTAAAACTAAAAACTATAAATAGCAAGAGGAAATCATGAATAAACACATAAATTAATACGAAAAGCGAGAATATTCTATACAGAAATGATGAAAAGCCTAATGAAAATGAATCAGAATTGGTAAACGTTTGTAAATCATTGGAAATTTAACCAACAGTGAGCATTCTACATACAGATCACGTTATAACAATGTCAATAATCCGAAAGAAATTCTTGAATATTATAATTAGCTCGGAACTATTTAAAATGTAAACTGAAATACTTTATATGTAAGTACTGTTAACAATTATTACAATTCTTTGCTTGCACTTTAGATTTCCAAATTGATATATAAATTATTTATTAAATAAAGAAATTAATTAACGTTAGTTAAAATGTAACCCTAAGAGACGGAAATTGATTTGGAAAACGTTTTCGGAGCTCCCTAGCAATGTAAAATTTAAATAGATATTTCCAAAAGTTCCACTAGACATATAGAATCTTTCTCGCTCTATCCGAGAGCCTGGCTATTTCTGCGCTGCTCTAATCCGATCTGATATAATCCGATTCAAAATACCGATTACTTCATGATCCACATCGAGACAACATTTAGATATATGTACATCAAATAGCATTTAGAAATTTCTATTTTCGAAATGCAAAATAAAAACGAAATCGAAAAAGTTATAAAAACCACCATTGTCTTTTTATTTAAATGCCTGCTCATTTATTTACACAATCGAACATGGATGTATATAGTATTACTTAAATCATCGAGTCAAAAATTGCACTTTGCTATGGCTTATGGCTAGATGTGAAATATTTACACTATTGCTAGGTAATAAATGAAATCAAAAGTAATGTGGGAGAAGTTTGGAGTCAAAGAGAGCTGGTCACCGTGTTCGTTAGGCTCTTGATCACTTAAAATAGATCCCGGTGTATTTACAATATCTGTTTATAAGTTACAAAAAAAAAAGAAGATAAATAAATTCGATTTACATTTTGCTCATTTATGGAAAACAATTTGGATTCTTTGAAAATTAAATTTTGTATTTAAGAGTTAAAACGCAAAAAACGTATTGTTCTTAGTCTAAAGTGCTTCCTGACTTACTTACTGACTTATTGCCAACGAACCTGCTAAATTATAACTAATAACTCTCTAATTTCTACATAGTTCGAGGTAAAGCTCAATCCACATATTTGTACAGAAGAAATCTCATTGCGGAGGACCAGTGGTCAGCTCCGGCTCGCTCCCTGGGGCGCCACATCGCGCTGGGACTCGTGCGCCTCGGTGAGTCCGTAGCAATGCTTTGCCGCCGCATCGCGATACTTGTTCTCGTGCTCCACGGAGTGCGAGTTGGTCCGGCACTTGACCAGGCACAGCTCGAAGTGATCCGCAACGCTGGCGAAGATGTACTTGGGCGTGTTAGGCGCCCGCAGGACGCGCTCTAGCAGCGGCTGCTGGCCGGGATGGAGGCAGCAGGAGACGCAGTACTCGTAGACGCCGCAGCAGTGGGTGCTGGTGTTGCAGGTGCGGCAGCTGTAGTACCCAATGCCGGGCAGCTCCAGGTTGCAGCAGCCGCTGGCTAGCACCTCCTGGCGCCGACACACGAATCCCCGCTCGTCGGCCAGCAGCCGGCGACCCTGGACGGAGTTCCGGCAGCGCGCCTCGGGATCGTTGCGTGTGCGATTGACCTGCTCCTCGGGGGCCAGGAGCTGCTGCGTCCAGAGCAGCGGACGGGTGCGCTGCACCACATACTCGTCGTTGTGCAGGCCGGCAAAGGAGTTCTGCGGGGTCAAGGGTAACGCAATTAGCCACTGTATTACATCAGAGTGGGTTTAGATTCTGGGTAAGATGAGAGCACCTGGCTTCAGCTTATGAAGATCGGTAATCCCTCAATCCGCCCCCTGGAGCACCCGGATTACTCACCCGATCCACGAGGTGTCCGAATCCGTAGACCAGCAGCAGCACCCCCAGCACGATGTACACAATCCGACGTCTCAGCAGGCGGGACAGGGCGGCTGGCCACATCCTGGCCACAACCTAGCGCTCCATCACAGCCACCGCCTGCTGGAATCCTTCCGAGAAGCGGGCATGACTCTGGATGTGGTCCTTTGGGGCAAATGCGCCTGGAGCATTGGATGCACCTTCTCCTGGGCTGGTTCCCTATCCTCTCTCTTTTAATCCCAGTAGTCTACAGATCCAATTCAGTTGCCAGTTTTCTTTCGAAAGTGGATTTGTTAAATTTGATTGGACTAATCGAATTTCCCTTGTTTATGAGGAATGTTTTTAAGGGAACTTCTGATGTCCAATAAAACAGCTGACTGTCTGACTTTTCCTGACTTTTTTTAATATGGTTTTAAGAAAATTAAGATCTTTATCCATCTATTGAGAACTAATTTAATAAATAAAATCAATGCTAAAAGCAATAGAAGTTTAAAAAACAAATTGCTTAATATTTGTAAATTTCAGTCAGCTGTTTTAGAGTCAGTGTTGCTCGTCAAAGTAAATCGATTATTTCTTATCGAAAATGTTATTGTTTTCAAATTATTACTTTTTCTCAATAAATTATGTTTATTGTTTTTTCTTTATAATGCATTTATTTACATACGGTTTGCTTAAATTATTTTATAATATATATAAATTTATTGGGCTCGAAATTAATAACATATTTGTGGAAAACAAAAGAACGCATTTTAGATTCACTATAGAACTAATTTTATTATTTTTTTTAAACAATTGTTTATTTACATAAACCCGGCTTAAAGTTTAAAAGTGTATGCCAACTGGTAATTAGAGCGCCAAAGATGTTTAATTTTACTTACGACTAACAGTGGTAGATTTTAAATTTTATGTGTTAACTGTGTTTTTTAGAGGACGTTTATAATTCTGTTAATATTTTCGTTGGGACAATGATTATGTGTTTGATGTTTATATGAAAGTGCGAGTTGTTTGGGAAGTAAGCACGGTATTAGGTGACTAGGGCTGGGGATCATCTTGAGAATAAGAGTTATGGGTATAATCATAAAAATAGAATTGACATTGGTCATTAAATCTCATAATAATTTATTTATACAACCAAGTGTATTAGTTCTGTGTACAATCAAACTTCTTCCAGTTTTCGGCAAAGGACTTGACCTTTCCGATGGGGTTTGCCTCCTTCCGTGGCTTGCGCCAGGCATTCGGATTCAGCTCCAGCATGCCGCCAAGGATTTCCTGAAATTAAGAAGCCGAGTCAGTTTAGATTTGGATTGCATCACACAATGCTAGCGTCGTCCACGAACCTGGGCAAAGTTGGCCGGAAAGCGGTCCTCATCCTCGATGACGTGCGCAAAGCCCGAGTCCATGCCGAAGTGCACCCACACATAGGGCAGTCCCTTGGGAATGGCGGCCCGCAGGGACTTCTGGCGCAGCGAGACCAGCTGCTTGTTGATGCACCACTCCTGCTCCGACTCCTCGATGGCCTTCTTAAAGTAAAACGGCGCCATCTCGCCCTGGCTGGCGGGAATAGGTATACAGTGCACGCTGAGATGCGGACGCCGGTGCAGCTTGTTGGCGATCTCGTAAAAGATCACGTCTTGGCGACGGGAGGCGAACATGCGGGTCAGGGCCTTGCGGATGTTGCTCATCTCCTCCCAGGCGTCTTCGTCCAGCTGCGTGCAGCAGGGGACATGCTGTAGGGTCGTCAGGATGCAGTGCCCGCTCTGGAGACCCATGTACCACGGCAGACTGAGGTAGATCTTGTCGCCCAGGGACACCAGCAGCTGCTTGTCCAATTTGGCGGAATCAAAGCAGCGCTCACAGTTCTCCAGACTCGCAGCCAACTTCTCGTGCTCCCGTATGGCACTCTGCAGCTCCCGCTTCTCGGCATCCCCGGCAGAGATCTGTTTGCGCACCTTGTCGGCGAAGATGTCCTCCAGGTCATCGTTGGGATTCTTGTGCTTGGACACAATGTCGGCATACTGCAGGTTGGCCTCGGCGGCCGTGGCATGCTTCTCTCGCTCAAACTGGTGGGTAAATAGTGTTAGTTATTGGCCTTTGCTATCACAAGTTTAACTTACCATTTGCTTAATGTCGTAGCGGTCATCGTCGGCAAAGTACCTAACGCGCTGGCCGTCCACGTGGGTGTCCACCTTCTTGCTACCGCGTTTCTGTGCCCTCCTTCCGCCGTACAGTTCTCTGGGGTCACCGGATCCGGACCCGGATTGCACCAGGGGACGCACGTTGCCGCTCTGATCCACCTTGGTGAGCAGCACATGCTCTGACGAGGCCTTGGACTTGGCTGGCCTGGCATTGGCCTTCGGTGCCGACTGGCCGGAGGCAATGAACTCGGCTCGCTCCTTGCGTGCTGCCTCCAGCTGGTGATTGAGTTCTGCTGCCAGTTCCTTTTTCCCCTTGAGTTCCGCCTTAATGGCTTTGCCGGCCAGCTCATTGATCTGCTCGTCTGTGAGGCACGAGGAAGTGGGCTTGAGTTGCTCCTCCTCCTTCTCCTGCGCCTCCTCCTCAGAGGTGGTGGCACTCCTTGTGCGAGATCGGCTCCTTCTTGGCGGACTGGGAGACTTGGCACCGGGTTTTCGCCAGCCGCGCGAGGATCCCTGCCCGGAGCTGATGGAGCGCGGCTTGGACTGCTGGTCATCGTCGTCCTGCGGCTTCTGAAAGCCGGGCAGACCCGTGCCATTGCTCTTCCAGTAGGGATTAAGCTCACGGCCGCTCTTGGCCGGATCGTAGGCATCGATTTGTTGTGCCTTTTCGTTGGGCTTGGCCGGTTCCTTGCGGTCCCTAGAGAATGTCTTTAGCAGGAGAGCCTCGCTGGTCATCCAGGTGTCGCGCTGGACGGCCTCCTTCTCGGACACTTTGTCCGCCGCGGGAGGTGGTGGCGCCTCCACCCACTCGTCCTCGCTGGCGCTTGCCTTGCGGCTCTTCTTAGACTTCTTCTTGCGCCGCTTGCGCTCCTTTTCGTCCTCACTGGAGGAGGATGAGCTGGAGCTATCGCTGTCGCTGCTGCTGCTGCTGTGGTGCTTCCTGCTCTTCTTGGAGGACTTGGACTTGGACCTGGACTTGTGCTTGGAACTCTTCTTCTTGGCCTTTTTGGCGGGCTTCTCCAGCTTCTTGGCCACCGCGGGGAGCATCCAGTCGCTCTCGCCGCGCAGCTCCTTCTGCCGTTCCCGCTGGCCACGGAGCTCCGCCCGATCCTTGGCCTGCTGGAGCATCTCGGCGCGGGCCTCCCGCAGCTCCTGCCGCGCCTTGTCCTTCTCCCTGCCACTTTCGAATTGTATGTAGCTCATCTTTGGATCTGTTTGCTCTTGTTTACATTGTTAATAGAGGTGGGTTTATTAGCGATAACAGACGTATCGGTTAATTCTTTATCGATATTTATTTAAATTACAAAATTCAAAATATTACCAATTAATTTATTTCATTTTCACTCTTATTGAACGTATTAATTGACTTTTGTAAACACGCAAGTCTAACAATATTTTTTTAAAACTGTATCATAGTAAAAGACGCATCCAAATCTGTTATTTCATAGCTTTATGTTTTGTATTTGGTGAGTGATCCAATCTCTGATCAAGTCATATACCTACTTAACTTTAAACTGTATTTTTATGGAAATTGTATGAAACTTAAGATCCTTGAATTGTAGAAGTTCTATATTCATGGTTACGATTAAAAATAATCGTTGACTGGAATGGAAACAGATAAAATTTCCGTCATAAATACTTGTGCATCTTAACATTAGGCTTTGGGAATCACAGATTCCGACTCAATCCTCATCTTCCTCCTCCGAGCTGCCCTCCTGCGTCTCAGCCTCTTCGGCCATCTGCTGTCGCACCTTCCGCCGAACGTTGGCGTCCTCGACCAGGTGCGCCGGCTGGATGTAGGTCTTGTTGGCACAGCCGAGCACCGGACACCGAATGCCGATGTTGTCCTTGATGATCAGCATCACCGAATCGCGGTCGTAGATGTGGCCGCACATCTTGTTCCGCACTGGGTTCTTCATCAGGGCCTTGGACCAGGGATCGTAGAGCGAGAAGATCTCGCCGCCGGTGTCCTCGATGATGAGATCGTCGTCGTCGGCAGCACGGGCAGCACCATTGGCCTGGCCATTCTGCTCAGACCCCGGGGCCGCTGCCGACGCCACGGTGCGCTTGAAGTTCTTGAAGTCGGCTATGTTCTTGACATTGATCCGCTTCCTCTCCACCGCCTCGCTGCGCTCCTGCCAGATCCGCTCGAACTCCTCGATGGTGGCACTCTCGCCTTGGGCCTTTTGCATCTCCTGGCTGAGTGACTGGTGCTTGCTCTTCAGCCGGATGAGCTTCTCCGCGTGCTCCACGCGCTGCTGGGCGCTTGCATCCAGCAGTTTTTGGATCTCCCCGTCGTCACTGAACTCGGACATGGCTGTCGGGTAAAAAAATGGCTTTTTGGAAGTGCTTTTTTCGGATCACATCAACACTCACCCTCGGCCATTTCCCTGAAGAACTTGGTATTGTCCACAAATGTGGACAGTACGGCATCCACATGCTGATTGAATTCCATTTATTTCATGAACTATATTATTTTTGGAGTATTTCCGAATCTCAAAAAATTGGAGCGCAAATAGTTCGATAGGCAGGCTGAGCTAGCGATGGACAGTTTGAAAACTGTGAGTCCGTGAATTACGAATTTACAAAAGTGATCACTAAACCAGTCACGTTTTTTTTCAAATTGCTTGCAAGCTTTATAACATTATTAATTGTAACACAAATTAAATCATTATTTTACTGTGGTAAAAACTGTTACAATTATTCCAACTCTAAAGAGTCAAACTAGACATAACAACTTAAAGAATTCATTTTAGAAAAATAAATAAATACAAAACGTAATAAAAAACAATTAGTTACAATATTTCGACCCCTATTTGCGAAAATAACGTAAGCGCCAAAAGGCAAATTTTACAGGAGAGAGTTTTTTTTTAATTATTTCCGGTTTCGTTTGGTAGGCGTTTGTCGCTGTCGTTATAATTGACAGGACGATATCTCAGTAAATAGATGCAATTAGTGTTTGCTATTTTGGGAGCAAATGCGGTTGGTAATTATGGTAACGCTTAAATCTGTCTACCGCCGGTAGGTGGCGTCTTCCAATCTCGCTTTGCTGCTTGCATATCTCACCCACGCAGTGGAATAGTGCCCATCCTTAGATATGCAGTTAACGGGTGTAAACGCTATTGTGGAGTAATCGGGTTAATGGCTAACTCGATAGGTTACCCGATAGAGGGTAAAAACGTTTTTTATATTTCAAACATCGATGAAACGTCGGAGAACAGCAAATATCGATTGTTTTTGTTATCGGCCAAAGGTAATCTGGCCAAGTCAAATTAACCAGGTGGACAGACACAGACGCCGACGCCGAGCAGACGGACGAGCAGCGCCAACGCGACCCACCAGTTGCTCCAGCCGAAGCCGAACCATCCAACCAGTGCCAGCTGTTCGCCACCTCTTCCTCCCCCCGCTCCACGTGTCCAGGTGAAAGCGATATCCAAATCAGAATCCGACTCCAAGATGCGGACGCAGGGACTGCTCCTGGCGCTTCTGGCCATCCTGCCCACCATGGCCCTTGGACTGCTGGAGGGCCTGTACTGCGGCAAGGACAACTGCTACGATGTGCTGGGGGTCACCAGGGAGTCGTCCAAGTCGGAGATCGGCAAGGCCTATCGCCAGCTGGCCAGGCGCTACCATCCGGATCTGCATCGCGGCGCCGAGGCTAAGGCGACGGCGGAGACGCAGTTCAAGCTGGTGGCCACCGCCTACGAGATCCTGCGCGACGAGGAATCGCGCACGGACTACGACTACATGCTGGACAATCCGGATGCGTACTATGCGCATTACTACCGCTACTACCGGCGACGCGTGGCGCCCAAGGTGGATGTGCGCGTGGTGATCGTCGTCGTGCTGACCATCGTCTCCGTGATCCAGTACTATTCCGGCTGGCAGCGCTACGACTCGGCCATCAAGTACTTCGCCACGGTGCCCAAGTACAGGAATCAGGCGCTGGACATTGCCCGCGACGAGATCCAGGAGCGGATCCAGAAGAAGGGCAAGAACCGGATGTCCAAGAACGATCAGCGCGAGGAGCTGGAGCGGATCATCAGGCGGGTGATCGAGGAGAAGATGGACGTGAAGGGCGGCTACGCGAAGCCAACGCTGTGGGATGTGCTGTGGGTGCAGCTGATCATCTGCCCTTACACGATACTGTCGTTCATCGTGTGGCATGCCCAGTGGTTCTGGCGCTACACGGTGATGAAGCAGCCGTACGGCCGGGAGCAGAAGCTGCACCTCATCCGCCGGCACCTGGGCATGGGCCAGCATCAGTTCGAGGCGCAGGAGGACAAGCTGATCGAGGAGTACCTGCATCTGGAGCTGTGGAAGCGCGACAATTTCGACGCCTGGAAGGCGGAACAGGACGAGGAGATGAAGAAGAAGCTGGCGGAGAATCCGCGGTACAAGGCCTACAGGCGCTACATGAAGAACCACGGACCCGGTCGCATAACCTTCGAGGATTAGCCGCCGGAGCGATGTTCAAGTTTTATTGTTCCATCTAAAGAAGAGTCTGTTGTTTGCGTGTGATCCTAATACCCCTTTCCCCCTTATGGACTAAATTTTGATATATTATATATATACATTTATATAGATATTTTTTGTACACCGACTAAAATATGAATTATGTTAATGCCCCGGTGTCCGCCGAAGGGCGAAACGTTGACCCCGCCGGAGTGATCCGCCAAAACCGGTTCAAGAACGTGGCCAAGTTCGGTTCCCCAGTCTCGTTGCCACAGTGGCCGCTGGCTAGCGTGGACGAGCCGCCCTAGAACAATTGCCCCTCCCCCAATCCTTCCTGGTCACAAAAAGTCCAACTAACTTGACTAACCCGAGTAATGTAATAAACTAGATAGAATTTAAACGACTCTCTTACTGGGTGTTCACTGTGCCCAGTTTGCACAGTTGTTCTGGGTAGCCGAAAATTCGATTTCGTGGCACATAACCACTCGGTCTTCTTTTCGCCCTAAACAGCATCTTTCCGCGCTTTTGTTTATACAGTTTGCTTAGAAACAATTTTGGTTTTTGCTCTTTCATTTTGATGGCGGGGTTGGGGGGATCGGAACTTATAGTTCACTGAAGTACGTGCCCCAAAGAGAGGTGAAAAGAAAACAAGGTCTGGATTTTTTGTCATAGCCTTCAAATAAGATATGTTCGTTCTCTGAATTGCTTATTGTAGTTTTCCCAGTCCACCTGACTTTAAAGTAATATAAGTTTAGCAATTAAAATTACAAAATTTTACTTAAATATACCTAGTAGGAAATAACCAATTTCTTTGTTAAAACTTCAAACTCCATAAAATAAATAACAAGTAAAACATAGTTGGAAAGCAAATTTTAAGTTCCTATTTAAAATTAATCAGGAATGGATTCCAATGTTCTCTTAATCGCATAAAATCCTTATCACATTGCATTAATAATACTTATTTTTGAAACTGTGTATTCAAAGCTTAGATCCTAGACATCAATTACAAACTACATCCATCCATCGCCAATATAGTAATTTGGTTTATCTGAATATCTTTTCATTTTATTTACACCGATTTCTTAGAATTACGTTTCTAAATTTCGCGAACTAACAGCTACGGGGTGGGGATGTTTTGGGGGCCGTTGCATTAGGAGAACAGCCCCTTAGTAGAGTTAAGAACTGTCCAAGGGGTAATACTAGTCTATCATGTACTTGGATTCGTCGACAAACTCCTCGGAATCGAGCAGATCGCCAACGAGCTCCTTGACCGAGCGCACGCTCTGATAGCCATCGACGTCGCCGAAGTCCGGCTCCGGATACGGCTCATCATGCTGCAGCACCTCGTCCCGGTCGCCGTCCTCCTCCTCCTCCTCGGCATTATCCTCCTCATTGAACATGAAGTCATTCGCGACGATGCACTCCTCCAGGACCTTGGTCTGCTCCAGCACCACGGAGTCCAGTGAGAAGGCCTCGGGGATTGGCTTGCGCACCGGCTCTTTGCGCGCGTTCTCCTTCCGGACGGGCAGACGCAGGCTGCGAGAGGATCCCTCAGCGGTCGTTGATGAGCCCGATGTCTCGCCGCCCCCCGATCCGCGGTGTTGGTCCATGTGCGCCGACAGGTAGCTCTTTTTGGTGAACCCCTTGTCGCACTGCGTGCACTGGAACTGCTTCTTGCCGGTGTGCGTCCGCCGGTGGACGGACAGGACGTGGGCGTAGGCGAATCCCTTGTGGCACACCTCGCACACATATGGCCGCTCGCCGGTGTGGATCCGCTCGTGCTTCTTGCTGCTTCCAAAGTCCGAGAAACGCCGCTCGCAGTAGCGACAGCTGTATGGCTTCTGGCCCGTATGAACACGCATGTGGCGACGCAGCTCCACGTTCGAGATGAAGGCCTTCTGGCACACCTCGCAGGGATAAGGCCGCTCGTTGTTGTGCCGCCGCATGTGGGCATTGAGGGCGTGCTGGTACTTGTACGTGTTGCCGCACACATCGCAGATCTTCGGCGAGCGTTCGTACCGGCGCTTGGTCGTCGAGGCGGGCTTGTAATCCTCGTCCAGATCCGCCTCCGACACCCCATCCCGTCCATCCCGCTTGGCAATGGGCGAGACCCTACGGTAGGAGCGCTTTTTCTGCTGGCTGCTGGGCTGGGGTGGCGGCAAAGGCGGGCTGTCCGCCACGGACTCCTCCATTAGCGACGTCTCGATCTCGTACAGATGCTCCGGGGTGTTGTCATCATCCCAGGGATCGAGGCCCATCATCTTGGTATCATCCTCCAGCTGCTGCTCATTGGAGTCCTCATCCTCTGGCTGCTCCTTGATAGGATCCCGCTCCTGCAGATCGGTCAGGGACAGAACCATTGCTCCCTCGGGCAACAGCGATAGGGCGTCTGCATCCTCATCTTCCTCGACCACATCCTGGTAGTAGGAGGGCTCCGTGGCAGTGGTTATGGCACTGCTGACCGAGCTGGATGAGCCGGGGTCCATGTCCAGCCGCTTGATCTTCAGTGTGGCGGGCAGCCGCAGCTGGGCCTGAACCAGATCCATTTTAAGCTGCTCCTGCTGCTGGTCGTGGAGCAGCGGGGCGGGGACAGCGGTGGCGGTGGCGGAGGAGGAGGAGGAGGAGGAGGCGACAGCCGAGTGGAATAGCTTCTGGACGGCGGCGCACTTCTCGTGGAAGCGATAGGAGACGGACAACTCCAGGTGGCACTGCCTGCAGATCTTGTCCGGCCAGTTCTGCAGCTGCGCCGCGATGCCGGCCAGCTGGAAGCCGGTGCAGCAGCGGATCTTGTCCAGGATGAGCATGTGCGGCGACTCCGGGTCGTGGCCGTAGATCGAGCTCGACTCGGGCTCCTCCGCCAGGCAGATGAGGCACGCGACTCCCAGGTCCACCACCCGCGACTCCAGGTTGTTGGCCATTGCTCCGATCGCGATCGCGGGCTGTTGGATGTTCCTGTTCCTCGGGCCAAAATTGGGGCCACAAATCCACAAATCCGCGCAGAAAATAAAAACACTTCTGCTGCTGGCAGTGTGGTCAATTTGGCTATTTAAACACTAGAAATAGCGCTTTTCAATTGGCAATTGCGGGATAATACAACAGCTAGCGGTTATTATAGCTAGATTCGGACTTCGCCGGGCAGACAAATGCTGTGATAATAATAAGTTAGAGGGCCTATCAGATCAATTTGAATTCAGCTAACTAACTTTTAAAGTTATTTAAATCACAACAAATTTGATTTTACTACTCCAGCTTGTTTTGTTTACTGTTTCTGTTTTATCTTTTTTAAGACCCAAAGAGCTGGCCTAGCAGATACAACCACCTGCCATAGCGGATACAACCTCCCGCCATGGCCTGCAAATAAATACCATTAATTTTGTGTCACTTGTTCACGCTCGTTCGCATCTTGCATCTCCCTTTCTCACTGACACTTACGTTGGCTTACGTTCGTTTTGCTGACATTACGTTGAGGCTATTACGCTGAGGCTATCTCTTTTTCACTGACAGCTGACAGCTGTGAAAAAAAAGAAAAGAAGGTTCCAAAACCCCATACAGGCATAGGCGAAATCACCTGGGAGACCGGCTTCATTTAAATAACTATTCACGCGGAGAAGTAACTTTGTATATAAAAAAAAAATAATAACTATTCATTCATTTTGAACCCACCGTGTGCACTCAACTATGGATTGCAACCCGCTTTCGCAGTTCAGCGTGCAGCTTTTCGAGTTCTTCGCCAAGCCGGTGAATGGGAAGGCGGCCGGCGGTGCAGTGCGTCCATCGCGCTTGAGAAGATGCGGCGAGATCCTCCGCTATAATAACGAGGACCTGGCCGAGCAGGGCGACTTCAGTCTGGCGTCCATCTCGCGCTACTGGCTGAACTTTGCCAGCAAGCAGGGATGCGCACTGCGCCGCAACGCGGACTTCCTGCTGCCCGGCGAGGAGCAGCGCCAGGAGCTGATCGAGCAGTCCAAGGAGTGGATATTTCCGCTCGCCGAGATAACCGTGCTGCGCAAGGAGCGCTATGCCCTGCACTTCCAGCGCCGCCCGATCATCACCCATGTCCTTAAATCCGTGCTCACTCTGGCCGGGGACTACGGGCGTCCGCTGAAGACGGTTCAATCGCCCACCATGTGGGTGCAACTGCGCACCGATGGCCGAGCCACCACCGATGGAGAACAGGAGCTGCGCGACTATCGCCTGGAGCAGCTCTACAAGATCATGCTGCGCCTGGTCGACTACTCGGGCTGGCGTCTGGTGGAGCAGGAGGACCGCCAGGCGAGCACGCTCTGTGTGATCGTGGAGTCGCAGAAGTGCTGCCAGAGACCGCCCAACGATCATGTCTGCCTCGTCAGTGGCCCGGTTCTGGAGCCCGTGAAGAAGACCGCCACCGCAATGAGCGTAAAAGACTACTTGGAGTGAGTATTGTTAGCGTTAAACTAAAATGACAGGTCTCATCAAAACATACATGCCTAGGATGCCATGAATATTTTTTAATTAATAAATCATATGCCATAAATGATGACTACTCTTAAGCCCTTAAATGTATAAAACTAGATTTATCATAGAAAATTTGATTTTTTATTACTATAATAAGGTTTTATACTTTAAATATAACTAGAAGCAAACTGGCATAGGCAGATTTAAACTTCAGCTTACATACATTTGGGTTGAAATAGCATAATCCAACAATACAAAGTGTAACCAATTAGCATCCTTTGTAATTTACCTTAAAACATACATTCTTTCACAAATTGATCTTTGTTTTAGGTAACTTATAATGTGATATATTTATATAAAAAACCTTATGGAAAGTACTTAAAACAAGTATATGTGTTAGTTTCAGATAACTTAAACATATTTCTGATATTTAAGAGAATACAAGCTATTTGATAAAACCTCGAGGGAGCTTTGTATCTCATTCCTGCTCGTGCTTACTTAAGTCTTCTTTTTCAATGCAGGCTGCGCTCCACACACATGCGTCTTATGGCGATGCACCGCAGTGGAATCCGTCCGGCGGGCGTGGACAACATCGATTCGTTGATGAAGCGCTTAGGGGAGGCGGCCGTGATCGTTGATCTCTTCGAGGTGCGCCACGCCACCGCTGCTATTGTGGTGCGCAATGGGGTGGGCAGCTCCAAGGGGGCTTCGTACGTCCTGTACAATTCGGCTCGACTGGAGACCCTGATGCGCACCTTTGCTAGCATGGTCAACGCTGGCGTATACGAGCCACTGCCACCGCTGGGGGAGATCGATCTCAGCATTCTGGAGGATGATGTAAGCGGATTGCTTTCTTTTGCCCCTCATTTATCTAATATTCTGTGTTAATCTGTGTTTCAGATGGACTGGCATTTGATCTACGGATACCTTTTAGCTTTCCCGGAGCTTCTCGAGTCCGTGTTGGACAACTTGCAACAGGGCCAGTGCAGTGTCCATCTCCTGATACGCTACCTCGACAATCTGGCCAGCGCATTCAGTCGCTACTATCGCCACAAGAAGGTGCTCGTCCAGAAGCGCGACCAATTGATGCCGATAGTGTACGCCAGGATGTACCTCATCATGGCCGTGCGCCAGGTACTGAATACCGCTTTGTCATTGCTCGGCATAGAGCCGGTCGATTTTGTATAGAGATCTATTGAATAGACCCAATGTACAATCCACAAAAGAGGCTAATTATACGCGTAACCTGACGAATACTGAATACTGTCTAAACAGTAGCCGGTATAATTGTGATCTTTTTAATAATAATAACGATTTGATATTGATGTAACATTTGCATATGACTTAAATCTATATTTCTACCACCCGAAACAGATCTCATCATAATCATAATTGTAGGTTTATACTGGCTGCAAAAATCCCACTTTGTTACAAATCAAATGTCAAACTAAAGACTATCGAATTTATTTTAATAATAAAAACATAACTAATACACTTGGACTGTAAAATCAAGTATTGAATTAACTTGTGAATGCATGTTTTGGATCAACGCAATTGAGGTTATTGGAATACAGTTTTGATAATCAAGTTTATTGAATAGGGTTATCTTAATTATACATAAACATTTAATAATGCATTTTGTAAATGCTATAGGATTCTAAACATTCTGACTATCTTAATTAACAACCTATTTATATATAGTGATGGGAAGTGTTTAGGTGGAATACAAGGTACTTTCCTTTATACAGACTCGGATCCACTTAATATAACTAAGGGCTATAACTTTAAGTTGTTGCTCTTTTCAACAGTCCCCTTAATTGAAAATATTATTTTCGTTTTATTTGAAAATAATTCATTATTCTTGGAAATACTATGCATCTACTAATATAATTTATACACTTTCTTTCTTGCTATAATTTTTTATGACATTGTACAATCTACCTTCTCGTATTACTTTATAAAATAACTTCTCCATTAACATCATTAAAATTTTGCAAATATGAATAAATGTACAACACTATGGAGTTTAGGTTATATTAGAGTTTACATTTTAATTACGAGTCATTATGATATTTGAAAATATTTTATGTATTTAAGCTTCTAATATTTTTTATCGGCTATGTATCTTTTGCATATTATATCCTACTAGTTTACAAGTTCTTCCTGTCCTATCCCATCACTGCCCACACATTCACATAGCATCAGGACTTAGCATTAAGGACTAACGAATTGATTTGGCATTTCGGCTGGCTCACACACTCACACGCACTGATTTAGGAAACATTTAGCATAATACTATGTGGCAGGATCGCTGGTGGATCTGGATCACTGGATCTGGATGGGATCAGGATCGACCATCACCTGGCCTGCTGCTGCTGTTGCTGCTGTTGTTGCTGTTGCTTTTGGCGATTAAAGTCGGCGGCAAACTGGACATTCTCCGGACTGCTGTGGAAGAGCTGCTCCATCAGCCTCGTGCTGCCCAGGGAGTTGGCCTTGGTGCCCAGGCACATGTTGTACTGCGGGGCATCCAGCTGGACGTCGCAGCTGATGTCGTGGTATATGTGGACGAGCGTGGGATCCGGTGCGCGGAAGACACTCAATCTGCGCCAGTGCTCGGCGGCCTCATTGTAGTCCATGGCCAGCTCAGCGGTGTTGGCCAGAAAGCCGCGCTGCCTGGTGCCCACCCGCACGATTTTCTCCAGGAACTTCACATCCTCCAGGCCCCAACCGGTGATGTCCTTGTCAAATCCATTGATATCCTCGTCGAGAATGTCCGACTTGTAAATGGCGCATATGCCGAAGCCAAACTGCCGGAAATAGCCGCGCTCGTCATCGATCCTTGGGGTTTCCCCCTCATCGGATCCAGCGCTCCTCCTCTGCGGATCGTACTGGCTGAAGACAATGGGCAGATACACCTGCTTGCCCCGCTGCGTGTGCATCCTCACCCGCTGCAGCGTCTCCACTTCGAAAACCATGTCCACGTCGATGAACAGAATGATGTCCTCCTGCCGGATGTACGAGGATCTGGCCGCCACATCCAGGGCAACGCCGCGCGAGAAGGCGCTGCTCCTTTGGATCCAGTTCACCTGCTGGTAGACATGCCGGGCTTGCAGGTCGTGGAGCAGCTGCAGATGGTCGCCCAGCTCGTCCGGCGAACCGAAGATCACCACCAGGAGGTCACAGTGCTGCTCGCCGCGCACGCAGACGCGCTCGTAGGTGCGCAGGAAACGCTCGAAGGTACCCAGGCGACCGGCGATGGGCAGGACGAAGACGATCTTGTCCTGCGTCGGCGGCAGCAGTCCGCTGGGCATCGTGAAGTGGCTGCTCAGCCGGGCCATTCCATTCTGGAAGAGGCTGCCCAGGAGACCTGTAGGTGGAGAAGTGGCGGATGATATAAGGGTTCTGTTTCTAGATTAAGTAGGGTGGGGCACAAGCGGCCCTCCTTTAAAAATTCCTATTTAAAATGGATTTATGTTAATATTGTGTGTTTATCTCGATAATCTTATCATTTAACAATCTTTAAAACACTTAAGGATATTATATACATTTTTAAAGACAGAGCATGGTATCAGACTAATTTAAAATGTTCCGAAGTTGGAAAATAATTATTAAATTGATAAGAGTTCAACCGATTCTTGAAAAAGCACCGTGTGTTTTATATAAATAGATAAGGTACATAATAATATCTAGAAGATATCGACTCACTCTGCTGCAGGGTGACATTGTAGAAGTCCTCGTCGAACTCCTTGACAAAGATTCCCGTGAAGGCCCGCTGGACGTAGAGATGCCTTCGCACTGGGACCGTCATCTTCTTGCCGCGATACTTCTTGTAGATGAGCAGCAGGTCCAGGATCAGATCCTGGCCGTGCAGCGCGTCCAGGCGATGGTAGCCGTAGAGCAGCTCCCGGAACTCTATCACGCGACCCCGCTGCCGGGAATAGTTGTTGATGTTCTCCATCACCTCGGTGATCACGTCCTCGAGGCCCTCGCGCATCGCCGAGTCGATCTTCTGCTTGGGATTGGCCGAGGTGGCCGAGTACAGGCTGCGGGCGATGAAGGACCACTCCAGGAGGTCCTCGGTGCTGCCGGGCACAAATTTATTAAGTTCCGGACTGATTCCTGCAGAAGGAAAAGAAATGATTATTGAAATATTTAAATAGCTATTATAAGTATATTTATTTAATTTATTTGTTTTTGTAATAAGAATTGCAATATACATATGATTTATAAAGGATTCAAAGACATTTTACTTAAAAGTACCAACAAACTTTTAAAATATCTTTCATTAATATCAATATCTATCATTGTTGTACCACAAAATCCCTTTAAAAAAGCTACAAAACAGTTCAAATTATTACAAAATTCTAAAAAAATAAGATAGTATCTTCGAAAAATGAAGGCATTTATAAATGTGCGACCTTCGAATTAAATGTGGAACTCTAATAGTTTCTCCCCTTAGCCAAATGAATTTATTCATGGGTTCCGAGCTTTTCCATATCCATGGGCTCCCTTGGAACTGGGCTAATCCCATGCAAATGTGTTCTAATAGAAAGACGCCCCAGGTGGTTAGTTTTCCGGTGGGCTAACTTCGTATTCCCCAACGGAGTTGGCCTTTAAAACGAACGCCTGACAGACAGCCGACATTCAGATCGGATTCACTTAGCCCCAGGCCAGAAAACCCGAGTCGAGATGCCGCTCCAAGTGTTTATAGTGCCGAGGACGCTGCTCCTCATCATGATCCTGGCCTTCATCCTCTTTCACACGCTGACCGCCGCGGAGCAGAATCCACGGGCGGAGGAGCAGCTGCCGTCGTTTTGGATGCGCCAGGCGCAGGATCAATTAAGCGAACGCTTGGCCAGGACCAAGGATGCTATCACCGACAGCCGGCGGGCCAAGAATGTGGTCATGTTCCTGGGCGACGGACTGTCGCTCACCACCCTCACGGCCGCCCGCATCCTCAAGGGTCAGCGGCGCGGCGGACGCGGCGAGGAGGCACAGCTGGCCGTGGAGCGATTTCCCTTCGCCGGACTGAGTAAGACGTACTGCATCGACGAGCAGACGCCGGATTCGGCCTGCACGGCCACCGCTTACTTGGGCGGTGTGAAGACGCACAGCGGCACCGTGGGCCAGAGTGCCAGTGGCGAGCGGGTGGAGTCGGTGCTCCAGTGGGCCCAGCGGGCGGGCAAGGCCACAGGGGTGGTGACCACCACCCGGCTGACGGACGCCAGTCCCGCCGGCGCCTATGCCCATGTCCGCCGGCGGGGCGAGGAGCTGGAGATCGCTCGCCAGCTGGTGGAGGAAGAGCCGGGACGGAAGCTGCACGTCATACTGGGTGGTGGCTTGGGCAAGTTCGCCGACGAGCGCAGGGATGGCAAGGATCTGCTGGCCCAATGGCACGAGAACAATCCGAATGGCTGCTTCGCGCGGTCCCTGAAAGAGCTGAGGAACTGCACCGGGGATGACACGGGCAGCCTCCTGGGCGTTTTTAGTGACAATCACATGGCCTATCACCTGGCCGCCAGCAAGGAGCAGCCGCGACTCTGTGAAATGGCTGCGGCGGCCATCGAGAAGCTGGAGCAAAAGTCCCAGGAGGATGGCAATGGCAGTGGCTACTTTGTGTTCATCGAGGGCGGGCGGATCGATCATGGACACCATGAGACGCGAGTGGGTTACGCCCTGGACGAGATGCTCGAGTTCGATGCGGCCGTGGAGGCGGTGGTCAGGATGACCGATCCGCGGGAAACCCTGCTGGTGGTCACCGCCGATCATTCGCACACGCTCAGCATGGCGGGGTATGCCAAGAGGGGAACTCCGATCCTGGGCATGGATGCCCAGCAGCGGGATCTGAATGGAGTGCCGTACAGCACCTTGAACTATGCCATCGGCAAGTGGCAGAGCCTGGACAAGGAGGGCAGGAGGGAGAGTCCCAGCAAGACGCTGAGTCCAAGTGAGTAAGCAGAAAATTAGGTAATGTTAAAGTGATACTGAAAAATGGAACTATGGAGAGGTAAGGCAAAAAAGAGACATGTCTCAATCGCTGGACAAAAAGTTGTTACATTATTTAAATTAGCGGATACGTGGTATAAAAATGAGTAACATTTCTTGCCAATATTTTTTTTAAGTGTAAAAAATATGAGATGATTAGAAGTTATATTGAATGCATAATGACTTTTAAGCCTTCGTTTTTCCTCGATCTTCATTGGAAATGGGATGTAAAATGTTGTTTTTACCGACGCCTTGATATGATATTATATATCTTAATAATGAATATTATATTTCATTTCCCATTTCATAAACTCCAGCCTCTTATACACCCAGCTATATTCATGGACGTAAGGGTGTGCATTCTGGAGAGGATGTGGCCGTTTTTGCAATGGGACCCCAGTCGCATCTCTTTGGTGGCGTCATGGAGCAGAATCTACTGCCTCATCTGATGGGCTATGCCGCCTGCCTGGGTAGTGGAACGACCATCTGCAACCAGGACAAGGAGCAGGATAAAGACAAGGATCAGGAGACAGAGGCAGATCCAGATTCTTCTTAATTTCCCAGAGATGTGTAAATTTTTGTTTTTAGTTATTTCCAATATATACCTAATGTTTCTCCCATCTGAGTTTCGTAACTCACCCAATATGTTGTGGTCCTGAAAGTGCCTCTTGTTGGAATCGCTTTCCGGCGAGACGCTGGGCAGCATGTAGGTGCTCTCGTCGGGAACCTCCAGGTACTTGGCCATCCGCTTGATGTCCCGATGCAGGAGCAGCGACTCCTGCCGCATCTCCTCTGCCTTCAGACCCTGATTTCATATATAAAAAGAGTTAAGAATTTAAGGCCCTTTAGTTTTAAGGACCCACCTGAACGTAGGAGTGCAGGCGGTACATGAGCGGCGCCTGTTTGATGGGATGCAGGGTGATGGCGTTGTGGATCTCCTTCCGTTTCAGTTTTCCAGTGTACGCATTCCGGCCACTTGAGTTGTGCCGCAGGATGTACTGCATCTATATGTTGGAAAATCATATGGCATTATTTTTAAAAGAATATTAATATTAAAGAAACCATATAGAATAAATATTTTCAAGATTAAAATGGTATAGTTTAAAATGATATATCTTAAGATCATAAATGAAAATATCCATGACAGTTATGTCTCTTATATTATTATCTTGTAAATGTATTATTTATATTGTTCATTTTATTATGAGGTTAAGATCATATATGAAAATATCCTTGAAAGTATTATATCTTAATATCAATATACTCAATATTAAATCAATATACTGCACTTATTTGAAATCCAATATTTTAATTTAAATCTATTGACTGATGAATTATATTTCTAGGGATAGGAACACTGAAACGATGATAGTATAATACAATAGATACACCCACCTCATAGTTCCAGGTGCAGGGTATGCCGGCGAACTTCTGGACGCACCGGCCCACCTCGACGTCCTCGTGGGTGCTGTAGAGGTTCTTCAGGCAGCTGGGGATGTGGGGGGCCACGCGACGCAGGGTCTCGCTGCTAAGGATCACCCCCGGACCGCCCATGCAGAAGTTCTCGTCGAACTCCAGGGACAGCAGGCCGAACTCCTCGCTGTTGCCCTTGCCCGCCTGGCCGATGAACTGCGGCTTGGAGCTGTCGATGGAGCGCAGGAACCGCTCCAGCTTGGCCGGCTCCATGTAGACATCGTCGTCCGCCCGGATAAACCACTCGAAGCGGTCGATGTAGTGCTCATACATGTAGTACAGCATCATGAAGGACTTCTTCTGCGGCGGATAGCGATCGTCGACGTTCTTGAGGGCCACCACCGGCAGATCCTCGGAGTAGCTGCCCTCAGAGCTGAAGAAGGCCATCCGGCCGGGCACCTCCTTGCCCCACGTATCGTACACCGCCCGCGCCCTGCCCTCCAGGAAGTTCTTGGCCGTCATCACGCCCACGAAGACGAGGTTCCTCTGGGAGTTCTGGATGCTATCCTCCTCCCGCAGGCCGATGATCTCCGCCGGCGACTTGAGATTGGTCGGACGCAGGCTGCAGCGCTTCACGATCTCCAGGGCCCGGTAGTTCTTCAGCACGGTGCCAATGCAGAGGCCCAGGGCGATCCCGAAGCAGGCGATGATCAGCGTCTTGCGCTTAGTCATCGTGTGCTGCAGCATTGTGGATGTGGTTATATCCGGGATGCTCCGTTTCCAAATCGGGGGTCGGTGGTCGTGGCAGTTGTTCAGTGGGCGCCGTTCATGGGAATCTCTGTGCGTGGAAAAAAGAAAAAGGGGAGCGATCTGTAAATTAATGGCACGTGCCGCGGCAGCAGGAAATATTACCCATCTGATCAGACCTATGCTCACGCTGGGAAAAATATGCCCACACTGACACCGCATTTTTAAAATAAATATATATACCTATATCCACTCTTAAATTCGCATTTGATGATATCTCTATTATCATTTTCCCCTTAAAATAAAAACAAAATTTTCAATAAATTTTGCTTATCAAAATAGTTGTAGTCCTAATACTATATAAACTTTTCCATCATTTAATATAATATACAAGGAACATGTTTTAATTCTACAGCAGTTTCTCACTGTGTATGCTCTATGCAATATAAATTTTTGAAGTAAATTATTGGGGAAAGAGGGTAAATAAAAGTGGTGATACAAAATTCTAAATTAAATATTTTAAAATAAATGATTATAATTATAATATTTTATTGGTATATCTGCATTACGCTATATATTTTTTGAAGCTGAAACCGCATTTCAATATTTTGTGCGTTCTTTTCTACAAGATATATGTATACAAATTCAAGATATATAAGACCATAAACAAAAGTACCTTGCCTGAGCAATGATAAAATCAACTATTTTCTTGGAAATCGAATTTCATCTATGATGATTCGAGTTGCCATCCCAACTCGATGCGTGAGTAAAACTGAAATATGATGTTTGAGTGGTTCCGCAAATATTTGAGTTCGTGCTGCGTTTTCCTGGAATCGTTTTCCATTAGCCTCGGATGCACTGGTGTCCGGTGCCCCCGATTGCACCGGGGCGTCGATCTTCGGGAGGCGCGGACACTTGAGCCGAGATTGAGATTGAAAATAAACGCTCTGGCTAGACCGAGCGGGGTGCCGTGGAGAATGTAGATCTATTTATAAATTGAGACGACTGCGTTGGCGGCCCCTGTAAATTGGTCATCGTGCAATTGGATGGATGCGACTGGGCTGTCCGGGAATGTAGAGCGCTACGGACACACCTTGCGGAGAGTCGCGAAGAGTCTCGGGGATCTCACAGTCCGCTTCTCCAGTGCGTCGGCCCCATCGTCTCCACATACACAGAACCAAATGCTAATTAAATAAACAAACAGCTTGGGAAACTATTTGGTTTACAAATCAAAGGCCGGCAAACGTAAACTGGAGCACACATTAGAAATAAACGGAAGGTGCTGCCATTCCATTAGTTCGGCACCTATTGCTTTTTAGTCAAACAGAAAAAAAGCGGTGGTATTTACGAAATTCCTTTCGATATGGCTCATTTTAAGAAGAAATAACTTATTTACTATAAGCATTTCAAGAGAAGATCTCAATGGTATCGTAAAGTCATACTAACGTTCGATTTCTCAATGTCATGTTAAGTCTTTAGTTCTTTGTCTGTCAGATAAAGTTAACAAAGAGTTAAATTGAGTTTACGATAAATCTTAACAGTGTCTGTTATCACACAATATAATGGGGTATGGGATAACTCATTTTTCCGAAACCACAATTTAACTGGTTGCCAAAGTTAACCTGACATTGAGAAATCGACCCTTAATTTAAGTATTATAACAGCGAGTATTATTAGTACCTTGAGGAATATTATTTTTCTCAGTGTAGTTTAGCATGGTCTTGACGCACAAGTATTTTGCTTGCCAGCTGACCTTCTCTCCATCCCCTGAGTCACCTGCACAGGTGCGACCTTAGTGGTCGGTTAACTGCGCCCCTGTGCGTGTGCCTCTTATGCAACTCTCTTTCTGCACTGATCTTAACTCTACTTTTATTTTCAAAGGCCCCACTATCAGTCGATTCCCTCTCATAGATAAGGTTCCGCGTTTAAATACAACTTTGATTTATTGAAATTTTTTCGCCTAGGCTTATCTGTTTGAGAATAATCAGCGCTGCCGGTGGAAGGGTATAAGAATCCAGGCAGACGCTGAATTCGTTTAATGAACTTTTTAATGCCCAAGTGTTCGAGTCTCGTTTCGGATTCTCGGACCTTGACAGCAAGTTGAGGCATTTAAGCAAGTCTGCTTCTCTGTACATTTTTGCCGGAGGCTGAGATTTCTGAGATTCGATAGTGCTTTTGCCAGAAATACTTGTGTGTAGTAAGAGTTAAATATTATAAAAATATAATATAATAAATAAATATATAACAAAACAAGTAATCGTAATAAACAAAGATTGCTAAAGGTGAATGAATTTGATAACATGCTATATTAGACGTGATTTTTCTTAATTCTCCTTTTTGCATAAAATACTTATTTTAATTGGAGTATACAAAGTACATACGTCATAAGATTCTAGTGAGATGTGTGCTTCATTAATTCTTAAGAATTTTCTGCCGAATTTGGTAATGGTTTATTTTTGCATTATAACATTATATTGATTTATTCCTCTTTCTTGTATTAAACATTTTCCAATAGATATTTATTACTTTTAAGATAACTATCTCGATGTAGAAGATACAATAAATGGAAAAATAAATACTAAAATAAGAATATTCCCCGAATATAACTTTAACAGCTTCTTTTTATTTGAAGTCTGTGGTTGTGTTACTTTTCAAAGAAAGTTTTTACTATCTATGATGATTTTATAGAAACTAGTATAGCCCCCACTTTGGTTTCATTGATAACACTGATCCCATATCCCAGCACGTTCCTCACAATTCAGCTCGAAGTAACATATATTTAGGAGGGTGGGCCTCAGGTATCGACCTTAATGGAAATACTTAACAGTACTTAACATACTATACTTAACTCACCTGTTCCTACCCGCTCAAGTTGCCGTCGACTGCACAGTTAGCACTTTTTCCGCTTTTTCGCCTTTTTCGTCTTTACTGTGTTCTTGCTGTCCGGTTGTTGGGCCCATGCAATTCGCATCGATCGGATGATCGGATGATCGGATCGGGGAGTATTACGACTCTATAAGTACTATATTATGGGCGTGCAAGTGGATTGGGAGTTGCGCGATCTGTATCTGTATCTGTAGATGTATCTGCTTTTGTATCTTCCCCGCCAAGTGGAGGATCTCGACTAGGGGTACGCAAAACGCAACTGTTGACTGTTGACAATTGGACGTCTCCGCAGAAAGACAACACACACACACTCGCACACACAGTCTGTTGCTCTCACAGATACTCGGTCACGCACACACCGACAGTTCAGTGAGCATACAACAACTCACGCTGTTTAATTATTATTAGCCCTCGTTGTTGTTGTTGTCATTGCTGTTTTTTTTTTTGTTTTTTTGCTGGTTACGACGATAAGTTCGCAAAGGTCGATTCACGAAAATAAAAAAAAGATAATAAAGCTCTGGCAAACACGCACAAAAAATAATTAAACCAATTTCATAATATGCAATTT